AGCACCTGATGGATGGCAGAAGCCTTCTGAGTTACTTGGCCAGCACTAAGCCGTAGCCCAAATGTTTGCACCGAGAACACGTGCCCACACGATAGCAGCAACGGGATCCCAACGCTCTTGGCAAGGCTGACACGCAAACTATTTTGTGGGGTCTGTAGTCTAATACTGAAACAGCAACTGGCTGCTCCTCTCAGACAATCACTGTCTAAGGGGTTTTTAGTGTTCTGGTGACTGAACGTAACACAAAGTCAAAGGAAACTGTGTGTACTCAGCAGTTTAAAAGCAGTGGGCGCAACCCAAGTCCATGTCCAAGCGGAAGGCGCTTTGCAAAGCTAGCTGCCTCACAGGGAAAACTGGATTTCAGTCAAAAGTCCATGCATCAGAAGCTGCTATTTCTCGTGTGTGTACCTGGAGTATGCAAAACAGGCTGAATTTAGCATGCTGTTTTTACATCAACAGCTCATTTAAAAATTAAAAAATAGTAATAATAATAATAAAAAAAAAATCAATTGAGCACAAAACCTAACAACAACAACAAAATTTGCAAAAGCATTGTGAGACTGAGACAGAAATCATTTGCAGATTCAGTTTAACCAGCAAACTACTCTGACTCACGCACAGCCTCCCACTCAGCGACCAAAGCAGAAAAAGGAGGGTAAGGTGGGATTGCCCTCTCAGTGGCATCCTGATTTTAGATCAACGGAAGCTGATTTGAAACCGCATCTGCATTTATATGAATACAAGGAGTGGGATTTAGCTCTTGCATTTGTGTATCTGCAACTATCAACTTATGCTAACATACAGTTGTTGACAGACAGACAAGCAGGCGTCAAGCTGATTAATATCCTTCAGCCTACAACTAGTTTTGATTTTTACCCAACTAGAAGCCCAAGCAAGAAGGTCTAAACTTAAAATAGCAGCTTAAAAAAGTCCCTTAAATCTTTACGTTTTGGTTTGAATATAAACTCAAAGCTTAAAAATTTAAGTTTAGGAAATAGTGAGTTTATTAAAGAAGTCAAAGACAGACAGCAGATGGACACTGTTTATTGGTTTTTTCCATCACATCTGAGTTACAGGTGTAAAAGTCACACAAACTGCAGGTATAAACATGTAAAACAATACAAAAATAAATGGAAAGGTAATTTTATATTTACTGAATCAAGTTGTGTAATAAATACAATAGGCAAAAAGCTTCAATCACACAATTCAGTTTAACTGAAGTTACAGTAGTGTTTGTAAATATAAGTTTTTAACTTAAAGTTGCAAATATTAAAGCATTGCAAACTAGTATAAAAGTGAATTTTGGCACATCGTAAAGTGAGAAGTGTTACATTAGTATCTGACCGTTGTGTAAAACCAAAGCAATTTCTCACTAGCTTTCTGAGGTACATTTTTTAACAATCTAAAATTAGATCAACAATGCGGTTCTAACAACTCACAGTTTACAATTCACTATACTAGTTACAATTTTTCCCTTTTAAGAATATCAAAGTATTCCAGAGCTTAAATCTGTGCAAATTCAGAAAAGTGTCAATTAAAAAATAACAACAATAAAAAACTTATTAAGGAACTTTTACGTGCAACTTAAATCCTCACTGCAATCAGTTACGTTAATTGCAAAGTGTAAAACTGGAGTAATACCAAATTGCACAGCTTAATATAAAATACTCAGAGATTGCAGTGCAGTTTAGGTTGCAAATGTTCCTCTCCTAAGTTTATCACATTTTTCTCCCTATAACTTCAGTAACTTCTGATCACACTCATTCTCTGTGAGGAAAAAAAAAAAAAAAGACACCACCACAAGCTGCTAACATGAAGGTCAGCAAAGCATATAAACCCCTTGAGGACTCTCAGCACTTCTGCACAATATCAGAAATGCCTGGACACAAAGTTACTGTTACCAATTTTCAAAATACAGTAAAAGATAAAGGAACAGTGTAATGGCACTTTTTCTGTATCCAAACATTTGCGGTTTAGAAATGGTGCTTTTTTTTTTTTAATTTTACAGTAGCTAAAAAAAATTTCAAAACTAGATCTTTAGAAGTATCTCGATCCTCACCTCGACTTCAAAAGAGTGAGGAAACCAGATTACCCTACAGATGGGGTTTGATACAGTATAAACATCTCTGACCAGAGTACAAAAGTTATGTTCTTCTCCTAAAAAAAGTGCTGCTGATTGTTAGAAGTAACTCCAAAATAATCAGCAACTGCTATTAAACGATCAGCAGCATCAAGCATTACACATTTTAGTCCTCAAAGAGTTTTCTTTTAAACAGTTTAACCATTTGTGCTAATATTCTTCACTAGGTTAATTTTAAGTCCTTTCACCAACACCGTTTTTCCTTTAAAAAAAAAAAAAACAGAGGGTGCAAGCAATACAACCCATGACATCCATTTATTTTATGCTTCATGAATAAATGGTGTCACCTGCAAGGCACTACTATGTTTAAAGGATACCATTGTCACAGTTTCACTATTTCGGTATTTTTTTCTGTTTTAAAGTCACAGTTCAAAAATAAAAAAAAATAATTGAGGTAATCAAATTATTTCAATACCAAAATATATTAATTGAAATAGTACCAGTATGGTGAAAGGTCTTTATAATACACAGCTATTACCATATAGCATGCAGGACAGTATATAAGTATACTAGGCCTTTGTTCTGAGCTCTTCTGCTTCAGTTTTTAAGGAACAGCTCGATTTGCACAGTAGCACGCCAATTTTGAGTACTTATTTCCTTTTTGTTCACAGGGCATCTCACTTGTAATTACAACTCGCTACGCCAACCCCAGACGAATCAGTCCCATCAACAGTTATTTTCGAGAGCTGCACAAATTAGAGTCCTTAAAAAGAGTTCAGCAGAGCAAAATAAGCTACAGTATCTTCATCTATCGTTCAATCAATTGCACTTAAACCTACTCAGTTATTGACTCCCAAGTTGAGATAAAGCATCGACGATATGCCTGCTGTCCCAACCACTGGTATTTCTTCTGACATTACATAGTCATACCACTACTCTAGAAATATGGCTTTGCAGATTAGATAACTTGTACTGAAAAGGAGCACGCTGGGTTTACACTAAGTTTTATTGGCAAAGAACTATAATTTTTTTAAGAATTTTCTAATGCCCCTTTGTATTGCAGTGTTACAACCAGAATTTTGTACTCTAATAATCCTGGTCTGATAAATAGTTTCATGCAACCAACTGTACTTAGTTTGTAAACACCCGCTAGCCCCCCAAATCCACTGCTAGCTACGCTTACTCTACCAGGCACTACAGTATATTAAGACTAAAGTATAGCCATGCATAGATAAACTCACGAGCCTTAACATGATGCTCTATACCTGTAATACGGGTTACCCCAGAAAGCCTAGAAACACAAACTAATCGCTGGCTTTTGTTGTACTTTAACAGGATACTAGTAGTTTGTAAAGTCTCGTGGTGTGCAAAAAAAAAAAACTTCTTAAATTCAGACAGCTTTTTAAATCTAACGAAATAATAATAACGAAACCTTATCAACATCTATATCCCGATCTGCAGCACCTGGAATTCCACCTCTGCACTGTATAATCACCGCAGCGCAGGCACGGAGCCAGCTAGGAGCAATGCGTACTGACAGTCTACCTACAAGGTGTTTCAGTTTTTAACAGGCTTTTTGAAATTTCAGCCGTTTCAGATTCCAAAGGTAAAAAATACATGTCTTAAGTAAGGCAAAACTGTATCTAGCCTTAGGTTTGATGGCAGGAGTTAAATCTCATTTTCCTGGCACAGAAAGAGACTGTGTGGACATGTTGCAAGTATTTTAAGTGTACTGTAAGAAATTACTCAATCCATTTCTTACTGCATTACATACACCTGACCAAAAAAAAAAGTTGCAGTTGTAGTAGAAGATTGAGCAGTTCTTAAGACAAAGGAATATGAAAATAAAAAAATTCCTCCTGGACTGTTTTCACTTGACTAAATTCTGAACACACAGCATGCTACAATAATCTGCTTATTCAAATAAGCTTCAATAATTGCCTTTAAGTAGATGCTAGGGTACTTTATAATCCTTCAGTCAGTGATCTATGAAGTCTCACTTAAAGTTGTACTAAATTAAGTCAGGGGAGAAGTTGCCAGAATACCTATTATGATATCATTTAGCAACTATAAAGGTTTTGTTTCAAGTACTTAAAACCTGGTGTATTAGTTTACTGAAATGTTACGGCGTGCAAATTCTCCTGAAAGCTTCAAACAAGTTCTTTCATATTTCAAGTGTATTTTTTACCTTTGGAAATAAGTCATTTTCATGAGAAGGAACTCTTTACCTATAGAATCTCCCTCTTCTCTTGCATTTAGTTTCTAGTACTGAAATAAGAATCCTTCAGAGATAATCTTCTAAGCAACAGCAAGTTGCAGATTACTGCCATTCATGTCATATTATTTTCTAAAGCACCAATAACAACACTTGGAAGAAAGCAAGATATCACCACTTATCTTGCTTCACCCTTTTCTTTAAAAAAATCAAATTTTCGACTGCAGATTCAAACTGTGCAGAGGTTATGAGACATGCTGTCCCCTCAAAAATGCAGACGCCTAAGTGTTCCCCCGTTTCTCGCTTTGGGAACACCCTAACAGCTGTGGGACTAAGTACTCTTCCAAGTTTTTCAAGTGCTCCCCCATTTCTCGCTTTGGGAACACCCCAATAGATACAGGGTTAGGTACTCTTCTGAGTTTTTCAAGTGTTCCCCCGCTTCTCGCTTTGGGAACACCCTAACAGCTGTGGGATTAGGTACTCTTTTGAGTTTTTTAAATGTTCCCCCATGTCTCGCTTTAGGAACATCCCCCAGTCCCACATACTGATGTATACCACTGCTCACCAACGCTCCTGTGCAACAAGTTTCAAGGGACACCCAGACATTAAAGCGGTTTGATTATCTGCACAACAGACCAAATCCACGATTACATTCTGACGTACTAGGAAACACAGTTTTGCTTCTTTTCTTCTTCTTTTAAATAAATTTCCACTACTAGGCAGAGATTCCAGGTAATGCTTTCTACAGTCTGGAATTAAGGTGAAGTGGAAGCAAACTTGACAGTACAAACAGCTAAGCAGTCACCATATTAAAATGCCAACCTTACAGAAATGATCTCTTCATTTTAAAAGGAGTGCTGAAAACTGACATTTCACTTAATTTTCTAGTTAACCAGCAAGGACAACAGCATTTTTGGTTACTGACAGTAGGCGGTTCAGAAACGCACAGAATGCACGTGCTTATGTCTTTTGCTCAAAGAGATCATGATACTCTTGTTCTTCTAGTTCTCTGTTGTACTTCTCTATTTCCCTGTTGGCTTCTTCCAAGTAATCGTTCATGAATTGGTCCATTACTGATTTTGAAAAACTAAGGAAAAGCATTTGCGCAAATAGCGTTCATTAGAAAAGAACATACATATTTTTTTGAAGGATATGCCAGTTCAGGGACACTTCCTGAAAGCAGAAATTCAATATATTACCTTCTGGGACTCCCGCAGCCAGATCTAACCACAACTACTCTGTATTACTGGGGAACATAGGAGTTGTACAACAGACATTTCCCAATCAAGAGGAAGAATATAGGAACAGCAAAACTACAGCAGGTTTGCAGATGTTTACAGCTATTTTGGTTAAGTGGAAGTCCAAAAAACTCTGCCCAAAATTCAAATCATCCAGAAGTGGTTAACCAGTGCCCATATCTTTTATTGCTAAACACCAAGACGGTGGTGGAGCTAAGGTCCAGTGAATATTGAAGTCCAAGTTTGCTGTTAGGCTATTTTCTGCCAGCATACCCTAACTAGGACCTTACCCTGCAAACACAAATCTGCTGGTTTCAAATTTTAAAGTTGTCCCATAAGGCATAGAAAATAACTGTTTCTTCGTATTCCAAAACAGAATCACAGAACCCACTTGGAGTTTTGTAAAGTTTTTCAACATTCAAGTGAAAAGTAAAGTGGGAATAAGACCAAATTTGAAATTTCAGTAATAAAACAAAGACAGAAGCATTAGCAAGTTATGAAAACAAGAAAGAACAGGAATACACTGGAACATTAGTATTACTCTGGTGTTTCTTGCCAAAGACAAAAATATGATCAGGTTTAAATTAAAAAATAAAAATAATTTCTGGAAAGAAATCTAGAGGACCCTACTTCAGCTGTAGTTAGTGTTCTGTAAACTGACACCAAATAAGACCACAAGGACAGTTAATTTACAAATGTGCATATGCCACAATTTGCTAAGTTAATCATACTGCCTGCTAAGCTGAAGTAGTTTTAAAATAAGGTTTTACTAGCTTAAGTGAGTTTAAAAAGTGATTACAAATAAAGGCATCTCCACATCTAATTCTGAACACCCTGTTCATATTACTGCATTGCATCCAAGAAGGTTTTTCTCATACTGAGTTACAAAATGAGAGCAATCATTTAACATCAGCTTCACCGCAAAATATGTGGCAGAAAAAAAAGATACTGTAGTAAACCAACCTTGACTGTTTTTACTTGAGTGTGTGCATGCATACAAAATTATATTAATTTGGAAGTTTTAACAGTCATGAGCAGGTATTAAGCAATATTATAGCACTATTTGGTCTGAAAAATATTTTTTTGACAAGCTGTAGTCCGTAAATTATTCTCTGCATGAGCTCATGTACAGTTTTGGGATTGTTTTGTGGGTTTTATTCTGCTTCTTAGATCATATTTCTGGAGTAGTGTTTTAACAGTAAGCTTTAAATGGCATGTAGCCACACACTGATTTAAGGTACAAAACTTTTCACTTCATACTACCACCTGCAAACAAACTGGCTCTTCACATATCATCTGCTTTGTGTCTACATTTCAGAGTTGCATAGCCTGGTGCCTACCTAAAACCTTCACCAAAAACCCCCACATTTTAAAGGATACATGGATGGTAGTCCATTTTGTCACCAAAAAAATTCACAAATTGCGTCCCATTGTAAAAATAACCAGCTGGAAGTGGATCCAAGTGGCGTTTCACCTACATTAAGGAAGAATATACCGTGCATTAAACATTTAAAACTCAAAACTGCTTAGAAACAGTCCTAACAAATAGATAAAACAAAAATTCCTTCTGCTGAACTTAACAGCCAGGGAAGAAAGTATGGCTTCTGGCTATAAAAGAGTGCTCTGAAAAAACAGTGTGACAAATGACATTCATATTGACTAGGGGAGTCATGTACAGCGACATTAATCACAGCCATGCCAAACTCTTGAGAGCCCAATTTTACAGATAGCACTTACAACCTAAAAGTAGTTAATGAGGACAGGATTAAGCATTTAGGATCCTAATTTGCATGTGACAACCTGCACAGCACAGAACAGGGAAACAAGATGGGGAAAGACCATTACAGTAACGAAAAGTATGTGCAATACCCTACACCTCCCCCTACTTTTCAGAGCTAACTTGAAGCCCTGAGATAACACCAAGATTTATCTCTCAAATCCCTCCTGCACCGCCTCAGTTATGTTTCGTGTATATTAAAGACAGTAAGTGCTGCAATAATTTAGTGCTCAGCACACTTGTTACGGCATGTACGGGAGGTACTCTATCATACAAACGGATATTTAAGAAAATCAGCCAAAGGGACTTGCTATTAATTACTTCTACTTACATGAATGTTTTTTATTTCCTGAAGGGTTAGCATTCCTCTGGTTTTCAGGGCTTTCCTCTGCGGTTTCTGTATTAAGAATTAGACCCCAGTTATATATGTACTGAGTGATAATGCAATACTACAGTTTACTTATGTTAAGAAAAACAAACAAACAACCCAAACCACTAAACAGAAAAGTTTGTCTTGAAAATGTCAATAACTGTAGTAAGATCTATAATCCCATGCTATCATGCTCAAGCCCAGCCCAGAAATACTCCTTTTAGAAGCATGTATTTTAAAAATTAATTTCTAGACAGAATTATTCAATTATATTAAGGCACTCACAAACAAAAGTGAAAATTAAGTGATCTTACATAAGGCACTGCTACAAATGACAAATTCTAAAAGTATTTTAAATACTGCAATTTAAATACAGCTCTACTGCAAAAAAAACCCAAAGAAAATTGGCACAGGAACAGAAAAACAATCTAGTTTTCTTTCATGCAGCAACTCTCAGAACTATCTGAAACCCTAAATTAGCCATGAGTAGTGAAACTGTACAAAGACTATTTGTAGTCTTGAACTGCTCAAAGAGAAAGCACTTCACACTTGAGTTAGCATTTCATAAAATTAAAATGGTACTCCATACAGTGCTTTCTTACATGTCAAAAGCATTTGTCTCCATATATTGCCCATGCAGTATGTACAGAGCATGAGATATCATCACAGAAAACGTTTACTTCCCTGAAGTAACACAACCTGCTAAGAGAAGAGAGGTGAAAACCTGAAGATCCTTAGGGGCAGTTCCAACGATGGTCTGCAGGAAACTTTTTTCCCTTCCTACACAACTTTTGGGGGTACCATGCAAATCCTAAGCCACAACGAAGTAACCATGAGTATTTTCAACTAACAAATGTTTCAAAATGGGCATCACAAAAGGGCACAGTTGGAACTACAGGCTCAGGTTCCAACTAGAGTGCTAAAATATGCAGTTTGTATGGTTGAACGGTTTCATTCCAAGTATATTTCTGAGACAAACCTCAAGACTGACTTCCGAAGACCTTAATGTGGAGCCTGGCAAAAGTAATACCTGCTGGTATTACTTCATTGTGTAGCAGCAAACCGTCTTATCCTGCACTGCTGGTGAGGTTATGCCAGTCACTGTGAAGTTAGCAAGAAACTACAATTGCAAAATGTACGTTCTAGGCTTCTTATGATGCGCATATTCCCTGTTCCCTACTCCAACTTCTATTGCATAGGTACATCAGCCATGCAGAAATACATGAAGTCTTACATTGCTGCACACTTGACAAATTAAGCAAGACAAAATGAAAAAAAAACCCTACACCATTTCAGTGGACTAATTCCAAGGAGGTTTAATTTAGTGAATCAAAACAGTTTTCAGCTTTGGAGTGTTCAGGTACTTCAAGAAGATTTATTTCATACTACACTTTAGCTTTTGGCAATCACGTCTCAGCTAAATCATATTGTGTTTATTCTGGATGTACTCCATTTGCTCAAGCATTCAAAAGCACATCAATCCACAAATACACTGTGGCAGATATTAAAACAATACACAAATTACAATACACACTTACAAACTGTTAGTCCCCTGTCTGAAATACAGTTACACCCTGGAATGCTAATACCTTCGTAGAAAAGAGATAAAAAAAACCCCAAAAAAACACGTTTCATCAAGACACTCTGATTCCTCCCTTTTGTCGTTAGGAAATGCCAAACGGATCATACTGAAGAGCAGTAAACATGCCCACGAACCTGTTTTGCAGTTTCTCTGAGCCAGTCTTTTATATCTTCTTCCTTAAGAGAGCAGCCAATGAACACAAGGAAGCACTCCTGTTGACTGCTGCAATCTCGGTTATCGCTTCTTGAATCAGGAGGAGTTGGCCCCTCCTGAACAGGCACAAGGCTTAGTGAATTAGATGATGTGTTGTGACAGACTTCAATCACTTTATCAGAATCTAACAAGATGGAAGAAAAAAAACCATCTTGATAATTGTTAATCAAATTTAACATCAACACACTGGTGTAGACAGGATAGAGTACATTACAATACATATACATGCAATACAACCACAAGACAACACATAAATAGTAATTTTCCCTTACCTGAAAACTTAACTTTGCCCATGATGTGATAAATGTTTCCAGAAAAAGGACTTGGCTTGAGCAATGACTTAATCGCTGTTTGAAACAGAAGACAAACATTATTTCACTTATTGCTCTCACCCTTGGTGTAGCTTCTGGTCAGACCTACGCTACAGGTCTCTAATCCACATCCTAGTGCTTCAGGGGAAAAAGCTGCAGTGTCCCCCAGAGCCCCACTACATAACATTTCTATATATTCTCATTTCTTTGCTATGGGGTAGGTGGGAAATAGCATGTGTTTGGCATAATGAGCGCTTACAGTATGTGTGGAAAGTAAAATGGTGCTCCTTAACACTGTTTTGCTAAGGAAAGAACGAAAGGCATGATTATATATCTAATCTAGTAGCCTAGCACAGAGTTGAACCTATTTTCTAGTAACTACAAAGAATTATTTGGCATAAAAAGTAGAAGCTGATGGTCACTTACAAACTGTATTTTGACACTACTAAATAATATTAAAGAGCAAAAGATACAAAGATACGTGTCTGTCTCTAGAAACCAAAAATTAAATTAGATTTTCATCGGAAAAAAAATCATGGATCAATCTTCCAGAGCAGACACTAAAGATGACAATTTACCGTCCTTTAAGGAAAGAAAGCTGAATTTTCAATTATAAGTTTACTTCATGAGTAATTAAATAACTGTGCTACATCAGTGCCTTCCTTCCCCTCTATTTCTCAGTATTTCAAACTTGCATTTAAATCAAGCCAGTCAAAGTTCATTAGTACCTTTACATTTGGTCACAAATCGTGTTTTTTCTAGAGGACGATTAAACCATACACAGATCTGAACCATTGGAGGGAAGACAGACCCAGCTCCATATTTACCTTCATACCTTAAGACAAAAACAAACACACAGCTTCAACTTACAGGAAACACACACAGTTGTGCTTTTCATCTAACAGACTTCTTAAAAGGAAGATCTATTATTTCATCACAGGTAAGCCTTGGTCATAGGAAGAAAAACACTAAGCTTTCTTCTCTAAGACATCCATGAGAAGGTGATATTAACAGTATTAGGTTGTTCAAAGAGCTCAGGGCTCCTTTTGATGCTCCTCTTGCCACTATTTTTTTTTTTTCTTACATACTATCTATGTACTATTCTTGCATATTATCATCAAATAAATTAACAGTTGTCCAAAACTTTTAAATACTTTCTTTTCCTGCTTTCTCTCTCACCCTTTCGCTACATGCAATTCACAAGCAGCGCTGACATCCCAAGCCTTGTGCCGGTTTACTTTAGGAGCTTTACTTGCATCCAATTTAGAGCAAGAGTTATGAATAAAAAGATATACATACATACAGAACTGCCAAGGTATGGTAAATAAATCATGCTTCCAACACCGTAACCAGAACTAGGAAACAGTCAGCCAAGGGTTACAACAGCTGACAAGTCTACATTTTCTGCCAAATAGGTGCAGCACTGATAACTGCAACAAGATGTGTAAAGAACCCTGAACCACAAAATATCTCCCTTAGTATTAAATGGAAAGCTTGGTACCATGTATTATTGCTCCCTTAGCCTCTGCCAAGACTGTCAATAAGGTTGCTGGTTTTTATGAATAATTGTTCTGCTAATAGCTAGACTGACATAGCAAGTTCATTCCAGTAAGGCTGAATAGTTGTCAGAATGAAATTACTCTAGTCATTATTGACCTCACCCATCCCATTTCTTCCCAGCTTATTCCCAGAGGGTTCTTTTCTATTCTTCTGAAAAGCAACAGTAATCTTTCCATTGATTTAAATGGTGTCCAGAAAGGATTCTTTTCCCCATAAAAGGACAGCAATCGTGTATCTACTAAGAATACTCATCAGCTCTCTTTTAAAAATGATTTACAAAGCTATTGCCTGTTCCAAATGAGTAGTCTTGAAAAAAAATATAAATTAAGTTAGCGAGTCTTTTTAATCTTCAAGTTAATTAGAAAAATAGTTTTAATATTTCTCAGTCTAGATACTTGCCAGCCAGGATACATTAAATATCGAGCTCTCATCATCTGAGGATTTGAAAAACTGCTTTCTGAGAGAATTAATTCAATATCCTCATTCCTATAAAGAGATAAAGATGAAGATTTTTAATTTTATAAGTTCAATAGAACGACCACTATCTGTATGCTACTTACATAAAACAGAATGTGTTAGTCACAGTAAAATTAAGAGTATTTTTCCCTTAGTATGACAGGAACAGGAACATAAATCATACTCTGCAAACAAAAACATGCATTTCCTGATCCCTATACGACCATAAGTGTAAAGGGAAAATACCTTTTGCATGAGATGCAATTAAGAAAAACCTGCATCTCCTTTGTATGAGTTGCCAAAGTAAACCAAGAGAATATAACTTTAAGTGTATGTGTCCCACCTGCCAAAAGTGACAACTACTGGACAGTGATTAACATTACCTAGTCACAACTCCATTTTCTGCCAAGATGAATGAAACAGCAGGATTTGCCGCTCGGATAAGACTCTGCAGTTGCATAAGGAGCGGATGCTTCTGCTCTGTAGCATGACTTGTGAAAACCACATTGCTCACTAGTCCTGTGTAAAGAAATCAGAGAACAGTTTACAGAAGTCAGGTATGCAACAGTGACTGAAAAACAATTAAGTAATATCACAGACATTCTTCTCTTATTTTCCTTCCATTTCACTACATTAACATTACTACGGAAAAAAAAAAAAAACACCCAAAGAAAAAAAAGAGCAAGAAACCTTTCATCTCTTGCCTGCGCAGCAAAAACCCAGAAGCACATCTAACCACACATGAACACTGTAGAATAACCAAACTGGAATTATTGTTAACTATTTATTTTGCAATTGCATCTAGAGGGCAGGCAGCTCAGAAACCCGTTCTGTCACAACCCGTAGACATGCAGGAATGATACCTCCCGTAGGAGACAAACTGTTTCAGTCACTGGAATGACTCGAGGAGAAAGAGGCGGGATGTTGTAATCTGTGAGTTCTTATGATTCAGTGAAAATAGTCTTACAAAAAAAAAAAAAATTAAAAACATGAGCCTACCAGTACAACGCCAGCCACTGAAGATGACTTGACTAATGAGGAAGGCCTGCTTTGCCAAAACACAGCTATAGCAGGTCAAGGCATTTTTCTTTAAATTTGACAGGCCGTGTAACAGAAGTAATTTAGACTCAGTTAATCAAAACAACAATTAAAAGAATAAATTCGTATGAGAATCAATATAAGGGGGATTAGTTTAATAAAAAATACTGATGTTTAAAGCCTCTTGGCAAATTCAACATGTAGAAAGATAGGCTAAACAGCTAAAAAACAGTATTTTGGACAGACAGTTGCCACTTCCAAAAACAAGAGAAGGGTTTGTTGGGGGTTTTTGGCACTGTTTTTAAAGACAGACCTCAAAATGGTATTCAGACAACAAGTCTGAACCCACAAGGCATCAAAAAAGATAACAGAGAAAAACAATAGGATAACTATTTGCCCTGAGCCCCAATTCCCAAAAAGACTCAGCCATGTCACCAGAAAAGCAATTCCTTTTTAAGACTTAGCAGTATCCCTTCACTTTGCACCTAGTGCTACTAATTTCACTGAAGCGGTTACTCTTCTTAAGCAAAAACTTTCCAAGATTTGAAGATGACAACACAGTCTTCATGTTATATCTGCTGTCTTGCCAGGTATAAGACAAATTTCATGTTAAATAAGAACCAACTGTTGTTACTGCAGATGCTTCTGAAGACAATCAGAAATAACACACCAACGATCACAGCCGTCAAGCACTGGGCACTGGAAAGGATCTCATTAAGGAAAAAATGCAAGATGATATATCACACTTATCATCCGACTAATTTCAGTGTTACAGGATTTCTGCTTTTGAGTTATATCAAGAAGGCATTACATCAGAGTGAATTTCAGCCCAGTTCCTCAAAGAGATTGACTCCCTAGGACATCAATATTGTCCAGAATGTGTCGGGAATGCTATTTCTTTGCTCAAGATGAGCAGCTCATTTCAGACACTTTCCTGTTAACTACAGATACAGTGTAAGACATACCAGTAAACTCTCGCATATCCATGAACAACTGAACCAGGACGTATTTCCCCTGACCCCAACTCATCACTATTTAAAGCAGAATATGTAATGAAGCTCACACCACGATCTGCTGCCTACAGCTATCCCTGATCTTTACAGAAGTCTTTAAAGTACATTAATCCTTGCAGAGACTTCTTTACACAGACATTTCTATACCAAATGTTTCTGGGATACTTATATTATACCATATGCTCCCAATCACTGTTACTTGCATCATTGACCCTTTCAAGCTAGAATTTTAATAATAGCCCAAGCAAATTTCCATCATTAGTATTTCTCTTTTTTTAATCCCCCACAGAAGTTTCCACTCCAATTTCAGAACATTTAAGTTTTCTCCAATACACAGTTGCTCTTGAGAGAATGAGGAGAGGGGGGAGAACAGCAAGCACACTTAGAAATTTAAGTCGCATGCATGCTTGTAATTATTATGTAGATCATGCAATTAAGATGAAAAGTATGAATAAGCTAATCAACAACCACCACATTGTGGGTGTGATACACGCAGTGGGTTTTTTTTCTTAATGTTCCCAAACTTGATATTGATTTAAAAGTCAAGCTTAATTAAAAACATAGTTATACTTTACATGAAGTTGGCACAGAACAATAAAAAAGCTGTGTAACGTAAATGCTACGAAGCATATATTACAGTTAGAAGCACTATACCTCAGAGATAATAGGTAATTGTCAAGGACTAAGGTGGCAAAGCTTAAAGTTAAGAAGAAAAAGATTCAAGGAATAAAGTACGTAGCAGATCAGAAATCTATGCATCTTGCCTCACGCTCCTCATCCATACCCTTTCTCCATCACTCCCCACTTCATCTGTGCTTGTCTAAGGGGAACAGCTTTCGGGCACTAGCTGTCATCCTTGCTTGTAAACTCCCACACAGCCTTGGAAGTAATAGAAGACTGCTCAGAGCCTGGGGAACCTGCAAGCTTTGGCTCTGCACACACCTATGCATAAATCTTGTAGGTGCCAGTATCCCACAAAAATTGGCCCTGGGTTAGCAGGCAACAGTCCATGATACTGAAGAAAAATAGCTTTCTGAGAACTGGAAGATGCTTACATAGCTTTAGTAACAAGTAATTTCGACCTTTTCTATTTAAATTGTCACTGCCATCTCTGCTTCTACTGCATTTTGAAGACCACCCAGCTTTGCTTAATTCCCTATTTATACACTCATCTAAAGGAAAAAAAAAAATATCTTTGCAGCCTGGGGAATAGCATGTTCAATAGAAGCAGTAAAGAAACAGGAGGGATAGATTAAAAATACGTATGCCTTCCTAAAATAATGGATCCTTTTTGCTCCCAAATGTACAATGGGCATATTTAACAATGGTGATGTCTTCATCATTAAAACAACTTCATATACAACACAAGAGATGCCAATGTGCCCTTAGAATAGTAAGGTGTCATCTTACAGCTTCTGTGCAAGAAATAAAGAGAGGCGTATTTGAAAGGAGTGAGAAAAAAAGAAATTGCAGCACACAGATGGTGGCAAGATTATTATTTTTTTTTTAAAGTTCAAATAGCATGCAAGGGAGAGACAAAACAAAACTGCTAATGTTGATCGCTGTGCTCAAGGCTTTATCAGTTCTCCCTGACCTTCATCTGTTTCTGTTAGTCTTACGGCTTTCTAATCAGAAAGTGTCATGTCACAGTGTTAAATGATGTCATGTTGATAATATGCATCGGTACCCTTTCGGAAAGCTACACAATAGGAGGCACCTAGAAAGCAGCAGCAAAAGGTTAATCCTACTCACTCCCAAAATTTGCAAGTTATGTGGACAAGGTAACCACCCAAAAGTCTTGTTAATTCCTACTTGCCTATACCCATACTTGTCTTATACTTGCATTGCAAGTGTCTGTTTTCAGGTTTGTATGACGTGTACGACACTGTGTTGGCCCACTGATGCTACATACTGGTCTTAATGTTGTGAATCAGCTATACAACTGTAAAGGTGCTATAATCAGTTTTACTTCTGCTCTTGAAACTCGAAGAACCTATTTGATGTTAGGTCAGGAACAACAATATCCCACTTATACCAACCCCTGCTCTAAGTTCCAAGCCCGACAAGGAGGATGATGCAGTCAATGATTTATTTCAGGGTCAGGATATAAAATTAAATATACATGTAAGAAACAGTTCTTCTGCAAGTAAGCTTTTTCATTGGCTGCAATGTCCAATGAACCCTGCAAGGATCCTCCACGCTGCATTAAGAAGAGAATATGGGAAACAAGGCAACCAGCTCATTTTTCCCTTTCTAAAATAGTAGATATTGAAGGAGAGCTCTGTTTCCTCACGCCCCAACAAAAGAGAATGGAATTCAAATCCAATCCATTTTTCTCCTAAATTAACAACGAGGCATGAGTTACAGCAGTTCAAGATAAGCAGTTTAACTCACTGTCTTAAGAAACCCATCCTCCACATGAGGACAACCAAAATGCATTGTGCTACAGCTTCTTACATCTTCTCCAGATGATGTTTAATAGCATAGGCAGAGATTGTTCTGCACAGATGGGTCTTACCTCCAAGAGTTTCTCATGATCCTTTGACTACATGCATTTACAGTGTATTTATTTGGCATTATGGCTCAGCTACTTGTTCTGTACAGTTCAAAGTCAAGAAAAGTGAGACATACCTTGTGAACACTGGTCCAAAAACTTGGGAAAAAGAAGTCTAAAAAAAAAAACCACATTAGAAGTTTGTATATCAAGAATGGATATTACTATTTAAGTAAAGCATTTACATTTATCTGGACACTGACAGCTAGAGTCTTACTATCCAAACCACTTTCACGTTTCCTTCCCTCAATCCATATAACTGGAACATCCCCACAGATTATGTCTTTCAGGAATTCTTTCCCAAAAATTAGTTTTGTAGATAGTTTTAATTCTTTAATGGATTTAAGAGCTAATTCCCACCACACAATCTATTCTCTGTTCTAGGAAGTCAGAAAGCCTTCAACACTACTTTAATTCCTATTTAAACAATAGGAATTTTAAGCTTGCCCTAAAGAATTGTGCCTTCCAAACATGGTGGGCACTCTTCATGGAAAGACTGTATGAACATAATGCTTTCTGTACATATCGTACTAATTTCTGGTACTCCGTCAGACAAGCGATAATTATTTTAATGAGCTCCAGCATGCACACAAAAGCTCCAGAGAGAGTACTTTATCTGTCGCCCTTCAACTACCTCCCCCCTGTCCTGGCTTGCTGTTCAACACAGGCAAGAGCTTCATCCTAGGCTCCTTATGAGGTAGACCTCTACAGTAATTAACTTCGAAACAGCAAAGTGTTTTGATTTTCTTGACTGCAAAAGTTTCAAGTCAGACATTAAAAAAAAAAAAAAATCACTCTTCTCGATTCTCAGTGAAATTGCCAAGGCTTCCCAACTGACAGATTTGTCATTGGCAGTACGTGGCTATTCAGTACGTTCTTATCAGAGAAACTTCAAAGCGGGACACAGTCTACAGCATAGGCTAAGCCTCTTCCTTCAATTGCTACTGCATTTCAAGAGACAAACAATGTCAAAGGATTGCAGGCTACCGCTGCTATAAATACTACACAGTACTATGACCAGTAACACGTTAGTAAGTTTAAAAGAAACTTAGAAATGGAATTTGTCTTTCCTATAATTATGGAAAGAACAAGTTTCAACAGCACTCCAGCACCAATTCACCAATATTTTACGTAGTCTTTATTATTTATTTACAGTCTTTGTCACAAAGACAAAAAGAAGCATCTATTAGATAACATCTATTTATTGACTAGGGCAAAGCACAAGAAGTGGATGGGTTAGTGTTTTAAAAACAGCTAGATAGTTTAAAGAATGCTCTTTTACAAAATGATTGGGCGGTTCACCTCAAAGCTGCGATGCGCAGAGTTTTATCACAAATAGAAGCAATGCTAAGAACTAAAAATTGTAACTGCTTTAACTTACATTTATCAAATCAGCTGCAAGGCATAATTGCAAAATTTAAGCATTACAATTTTACTGATAGCTCTATGAAATTAGTTCCGTGCTTGCTGAAGTGTGGAGCACACACATACACTATGAAACAGCAATCAAACCACACTTTTTTAAAATGTCAGCGACTTGGCTTTGCTACAGTTTCCTCCCCACCCTGCCTCTGCAGTAACCCAGGATATCAGATTTTAATACTTGTAATGCTTTTGTTTCCGTGCTTTGTCATTCTCTTCCACTAAATTTCAGACCGCTTCCCGTAAGTTCCATATTTTAAATCTGTAAAGTCTTCATTTAATATCCAAAAGCAGTGACATAACCAATAACCCAAACTGAGATGCATGTCTCAATTTTTAGGCAAACTCACAAAAAGATCATAAAAAAAATGATTTAAAAAGCACACAAGAGGACAGTTGACTGCTCAGATTTTACAAAGTCCTTAGCCAGAGTATACACATTTAAGCAGGACGCTAATGACAATCTTTGTTTATTCTTCCACAAGCTAAACTTTTATTAATATTATATATAATCATATCCCTAGTGGAAACCGAGTGTCATCCTTATAAACTAAGCAGCACTTCAAAGTTCATCCAAGACTGATTACCTAGCAGTTTTATGAGATTTAAGACAGTTCAATGGCACTTAACCATCATATACCTCTAATTATTACTAAAGTGATCTCTTAAACTTACATATCTATTTTCAAACTAGTAAAAATATTTTAAAGTATACCTGTGTTCCATATAGCAACTCAGTGGCTCTACACAAGTATTAACTGCTCCAATGATGAAGGAAGACTTCACATCAGGGTCAGGATGAGTTTGCAGAGCCTGTACAACATCAATAACATCAGTATATCTGAAAGAAACAAAATGAAATATGGTTTCAGAGAAACAAAATGACACATTTTAACATCCAATAAGAAATCAATGGCTTGCAAGAAGGTTATATTTCTAAAAAAGCCTACCAATATAGTTATGTCACAGTTCAAAAGTTGGCAAATCCACACAAATTAAGCTGACTGCAAGTAACATTAGAAATAAATTATTGATAACTACAGAGAAAAGCAGTATAACCTTTGCACTGAACAACTGAAAAGCCTAGATTTCAGGAAGCACAAAAAGCATAATGTAATACAAGCATACTATGCCTACTGCCAAGCATCTTAAGTGCTAAGTACGATTCAAGTAAAAAAAAGAAATTAAAAAGCAACACCTCTCACTTATCAGCATTCCAATTTAAGCATGCTTCTATAATTAACGCGTCCATTTTCTATAAGTACTTCAGCCACTACTGTATTATACTTCTGTATGATAGCAAAGCTTAGGTGAACCTGAGTTTTTATTCCAGGTGTTTATTTCTCAGCCAGTTACAACCTTCTCTCAAAACCATACTGCCAGTTATCAAGTTAATGGATTATTTAGAGAACTCCAGCTACTTTAAAGCTGTCTACACAAACACTCAACTATTCGGAAATCACAGAAAACCTATAATTAGGCATTCCTTTTTTTGCTACCAGAATATCACTTATTTTGCACATCACTGGACTTTATACCACTTCTACTAATTTTAAGAAAAAAAAAATCTGACTCTAATATGTAAAAAAAATATGCTTTTTAGCACTATCAGAATGGACCATAACAAAGAAAATGCTAAGCTCCATACATATGCCTTTAGTGAAAAAGATAAGCATTCGGTAGCCTGGGAACCAAAAACATTACAGCCAGATTAGGGTAGCACTTCCCTCGAGCTAGTTTATGTTACCTACTAATGACTCAGAAACAGAGTGGGCAAACATACTGCAGACAACACTAGTTCTCAAATGCTACTCTGGAGATGCAAATGTCAAATAGAGATGGCTCAGAATCTTCACCTTTATTCCACAAGAAAACTGGTCTTTATCTGAAACGTTGATCCGTCTTACTTCAGTATTGCCTGCTGTATTAAGTGAATATCATATTTTTGACAGACTGCTTTCTGCTAGTAGTTTTAGAGGTCATAATCACAGAATAGTTTGTGTTGGAAGGGACCTTTAAAGGTCATCTAGTCCAACCTCCCTGCCATAAGCAGGGACACCTTCAACTAGATCAGGTTGCTCAGAGCCCCATCCAACCTGACCTTGAACGTTTCCAGGGATGGGACATCTACCACCTCTCTGGGCAACCTGTTCCATTGTCTCACCACCCTCATTGTAAAAAATTTCTTCCTTATATCTAGTCTAAATCTATCCTCTTTTAGTTTAAAACCATTACTCTTTGTTCTATCACACCAGCCCCTGCTAAAATGTTTGTCCCTATCTTTCTTATAAGCCCCCTTTAAATATTGAAAGGCCACAATCAGGCCTCCCCAGAGCCTTCTCTTCTCCAGGCTGAACAACCCCAACTCTCTCAACCTTTCCTCATACGAGAGGTGCTCCAGCCCTCTGTTCATTTTTGTAGCCCTCCTCTGGACTTGCTCCAACGGGTCCACATCTTTCCTATGCTGAGGGCTCCAGAGCTAGATGCAGTACTGCAGGTGGGGTCTCAGTAGAATGGAGAAGAGGGGTATAATCACCTCCCTTGACCTTCTGGCCACACTTCCTCTGATGTAGCCCAGGATACGGTTGGCCTTCTGGGCTATAAGTTGCATTATCAACTTGTGTCCAGCTTTTCATCCACCAGTACCCTCCCAAGTAATTTTCGGCAGGGCTGCTCTCAATCCCTTCATCCCCCAGCCTGTATTGATACCAGGGGTTGCCCTGACCCAGGTGCAGGACGTTGCACTTGACCTTGTTGAACCTCATGAGGTTCACACAGGCCCACTTCTCAAGCTTGTCCAGGTCCCCCTGGATGGCATCCCATCCCTCAGGCCTGTCAACACCACCACTCAGCTTAGTGTTGTCTGCAAACTTGTTGAGCGTGCGTTCGATCCCACTGTCTGTGTCATTGATGAAGATATTGAACAGTACTGGTCCCAGCACAGAGCCCTGAGGGACACCTCTTGTCACTGATCTCCATCTGGACATTGAGCCATTGACCTCTGTATGCGACCATCCAACCAATTCCTCATCCACTGAACAGTCCACCCATCAAATCCACAGCTCTCCAATTTAGAGAGAAGGATGCTGTGGGGGACCGTGTCAAAGGCATTGCAGAAGTCCAGATACACAAGATCCATTGGTCTTCCATTGTCCACTGACGTAGTCGCTCCATTACAGAAGACCACTAGGTTGGTCAGGCAGGACTTGCCCTTGGTGAAGCCATGCTGGCTGTCTCAAATCACCTCCCTGTCCCTGAGCATAGTTTCTAGGAGAATATATTCCATCATCTTCTTAGGCACAGAGGTGAGGCTGACAGGTCGGTAGTTCCCAGGGTCCTCCTTTCTACCCTTTTTAAAAATGGGTGCAATGTTTCCCTTTTTCCAGTCACCAGGAACTTCAGACTGCCATGACTTTTCAAATACCATGGAGAGTGATTTGGCAACTACATCAGCCAATCCTCTCAGGACTCTGGGATGCATCGCGTCAAGTCCCACAGACTTCTGTATGTTCAGGTTCCCCAAGTGGTCACAAATCTGATCTTCTCTTACAGTGGGAAGGACTTTGCTCCCCCAGTCCCTGCCTTGCAGTCCATGCACTTGAGAGCTGTGGGGAGAGAGGTTGCCAGTGATGACCGAGACCAAAAAAAAATGTTGAGTACCTCAGCCTTCTCCTTGTCTGTTGTTACCACTTCGCTGGCTTTGCTCATCAAGTGTGGGGAGGTATACTTTCTTTGACCTTCCTTTTCTAGCTGACATACCTGTAGGAGCGCTTCTTATTATTCTTAGCATCCCTTGCCAAGGTCAGCTCCAGCTATTCCTGACCCCATCCCTACAAAACCAGGCAGGCTGCCTTCAATCTTGACATCACAGATTAGCTCACTTGCGTTGGTGACCATCAGGTCCAGTATCACATTCCCTCTGGTAGGACTGTCTATTACCTGGCTTAAGAAGTTATCCTCGATGCATTCCAGTAGTCTCCTAGATTGCTTACAGCTCACTGTAAGCATCATTTCCAGGAGATGTCAGGGTGGTTGAAGCCCCCCAGCAGGATGAGAGCCTGCAAGCTCTTAATGGATCTGTTCCTTCTGAAGTACAGAGACTCAGAACATACTCTAAGGGATGCGCAAAAATTGCACCAATATTTATTTGGGTAACAACTGATACGCCTACAATAATGCCTCCCTTTCTTCTGTCTTTTATCAACTGGAACTTTGAAAGTTTGTGTCACATTTTTTGTAGCTTATACTGCCGAAGAATCAAAGCAAGGATTAGCAGAAATGCAAAGAAAAAGAAGCACCTATGCACACAAAGATGCTAAATACTTGCAAAAAAAGCAAAGATTGGTTCTTATGCTTACTGCAGCACACTCATTCCCTGTTTAAAAAAAAAAAAATCAGTAGGATTTCACAGTAGCTTAGGCTTTTAAGTTTCAATTTGGAGGAAAAAATATTGCAAATTGAATGGACCATTCAATTCTGGAAACTATTAATGTATTATTAAAGATTCTCTAGCACTCACTGATCTTTCAAAAGTTCAAGGTACCTTAAGCTCTTGAGAGATATAATTATAGTCTTTATGTCCCACCATATCACACTTCCAAAAATTAATTTCTATTCTGAAGCAACTCAAATTAAAATTTACCAAAATGCATTCAGTAATCTAATGCCTTAAAGACAACAGATATTCCTCTGAAAGAAACAGGGAGGTGCTCCACCCCCATTTTTCATCAAAACAATTTCAACCTTTTAGCAAACTTTCAAAGAAAATTATACATGAAAGGTAGGGCGAGAACTCAGCTAACATGCTTCTGCATTCTGTAACAAGTTGTGCATTTATTCCATTTTGTTTTGTTATCAGCAAAATACAGGTCTATTGGGAAAAAGTAGCAATTATTCACTTGTGTACTAACAGGGACTAGAACACACAACACTCACTCTAAATATTAACATAACACTTTAGCAGATAATATTCACTAATATTCACCTGCACCTCTGGAGTGCCATTTGCAACACCATCTCTATTGCTGTCACCTAAGTGCATGACTTTAAAGACGGACAACCAGTACTCTAGCAGTCTTTAAGGACAGATAACCATCATGAAGAAGTCTCACCAGCATTTGAAAGGCAAATACCTCTCTATCTAGGACCTCCGGGGGGGAAAAAAAACAACACACAAACAAAACCAAACCACCCACAGCTGCACCAATAAAGTGACATTTAACAACAGTCAGATGCAGCTGCAAAGGGCAAGAAAAGTTCTTTTGGGAAGCCAAAAATCACAGTCCATCTCCTAAGTACAGAAGAAGAATCACATGCAGTCCTTCCTTCCATATGACTGAAGGAAGATTACGGACACTTTTTTTCCAAAGGAGTAACAAGCAATAAAATTAACAGGTTACAGAAAATCTGAGCCTAGTACATACATAAAACAGAGGTCACAGAGTGCGACACTAGCCCAGAAATCTGACTGCTTCAGCATAACGTGAAAGTTTAAAAACGCCTTGGAAATAGGAAGGGAACAGAAAATCCCTTCTTCTATGCAAAAGTTCATATTCAAACATTTACCCTTGCAAGACCACTAAGAGACGCTTATTCCTTCTAGCATAAGCAGACTGATGGATGCTGTGGTTTTGCTGAGCCTCCAGGACACTGGAGAGGTAACGCTGGAAGTGGGTTGCACTGAAACATTCAGGACTATCCATAGTTTGCCGATAAACTATCCACCTAAACAACAGAGAACAAGGAAAGAAGTTAATGTTTTATGACATAATATGTCTGTTTTCTCTTTACATTGAAACAACAGACCAAAAAAGAATTTGACAAGCCCGAAGATTCCACATCTCTCATACCACATGGGAAAGAGGAATTTACTTGGCTTTCTATCATTTCCAGCACAAGCACATTCTTTATATTATTGCCAAAAGGTTTTGTGGTTTTTGTTGTTTTTTAATAAAAAAATGTTCAACAGCTTCTTCAAAGCAGCACATCATATGAGTAATTCTGATCTTTGTTAGTGATGAAGTAAACAAAAATTATATGAATCCAATTCAAAAGACTCAGGGCACGAAATATTTCACTGCAAAAATGAAAAGTAACAATGACACTTGCAGGAAAACATGATGAAATGTAAGGTGATTACAGAACATTCAAACATCACCTTAAATATTTGTTCTAAAAACAGAACCACGAAACTGTTCTAAATCAACTTGCTAACATAAAGACACTGAGTTAAAACTAATACAAAGAAATAGTCCAGAACATTACTAAACTAAATGCTAAGGTGTCTGGCCGTAAGACTTAAAAGGATAACAATTCCCTTTTTTTTATTTTCTTGAAGCTATATCAACACACAGAATGGTTAATTCCTGCAGTAGATTTATCTTATTGCCACACAATAGATGTCCTGAACATATCTCTTGCTATTGCAGAATAGAAACCAGGTCAGATTAAAAACAATGCTGTAGCAAGGGCTGTTAGCATAGTCTTTTCTCCAAGAAGAGTGCATTTTAGACTCACTACACAAGTCAATAAATGGAAGCTCCTCACCCATTTCCTTCAAGTTGTGACAACTTCCCTACTTGCTTAAAGCAGGATTCACTTGGCCCTTCTAAGATTATTCTCAACTGTTTGTACCACCAGTGATAGTTCCAGACACATGTCATAGATCTAGTGATAACTGTGGTATTCTTAATATGGAATATCAACAAAGCACCTCCTGTGCTATTTTTCTCGTCCAAATGTCTAAAATCCAAGCACAAATCTACCAGGCATAACACAGTTAAATGAGATACCTGAAATAACAGAACTTTATTAATATACCCTACCATATAGCATGCTATGTAGAACTAGTTAAGGTGTCTGATAACATGTACTGCATTTATTCTGGTTAACAGATCTGTTTACAAATTAGAAACTGGGATATAAAAAAAAAAAATTTAAGTGAAACAATGATAGTTTCATTTCCTTCACACTGAGTAGTTCTTTGGTGATTCGTATGACCACTGCTTTGCACTGTAAAATCAAAACTGTACGAACCTTCCATGCTCCTTGTTAAAAGTTACAAGAAAGGCGCACAGATCGCTGCAATGACATCCTGGAAGACCAGTTATAATGGTGATAACCACCTAAAAAACAGGGAACAGGTAAGAAGGGGGGCAACTTGAAGATGAAATGAGCTACAACTGCACACACTTAAGGCTTCTATCTCGATAAAATCTTAAGTCTAAACAAAATTAAATGACACTAACCACAGAAGCAGCAAGATAACAGAGAACTGTAACTGTGTTTATGCAATTACTCAGATATGCATCATTTTAAAAAGACGCATTTTCTCTTGGTTTTCATACCTTAAATATAGTTAAAGGACAATTAACAAATACAACTGTCCTGGTTTGAGGTAAACTAGGATCAATTTTGTTCAGTAACTTTACTTCTTAGCTAGGCCTCTTCTAACTACTAAAATTAACAGCATATTTTGCAGACACTGTTCATGCTCAGAGTGATAAGACCTATGTCTATAGCTGATGCCAAGGAATCCCATCCAGTCTGGGACTGCCCCAGTGTCAGCCGGTGACGTGACTGTCATCCTGGCAGCTTGATACGGTTTTGTATATATTTCATTATTTTCATTTTATTTTTAATATTTCATTAAAGTAGTTTAGTTCCTTCAAAACTCTAAGTCTCTTCTTCCCTCCTCTGCCTCTCTTTTTGAAGAGGGGTAGCGGGGAGCATCTGTGTCACTTGCCCGATGGCCGGTTTGGCCTAAACCACAACAACAGTAAACAGGATTATCAAAATCTTTACATTAAAATCTATTCTGCAGTGTAAGTATTAATGTAAATGTCAGACCAAACACTGCAAGAGACATCAAATCGGTTATGTTTCCTATGACGAAAAGGCTACATTCAATTACACAGAACAGAGTTTGAACAAAATGGTTCAAAAAGTGATGGTGTGTGTCAAACAGTCTTTTCAAACACAGTGAGCAATTCTAGGTTTCCTATACAGTACCGAGCATGCTATACACAAAATTTATTCCAGTAAAGCTGCATTTTAAGTAGGACTGGTAAGAGGCTGCACAGTAACAGCTCTAACATACCAACAGCTTTTCTGCATAAAACACCTCTGTTTCCATTATATGTATTTCTTGGGGTATTTAGAGAGGGATCATAGCAAAGAAACACTTGTAAAGTCAGAGAATATCTCCAAAGTATATCTATATAGTTCTACCCTACATACTCCAGTGTGCTACAGAAGCAAGCAAATGAGCTCTGGAGGGAACACAGCTAAAACAACAACTCTCTGTGCTGCACTGAACTTAAGAAATTATGTCACTGGTAATCAGCCATCACACTGAGTATCATCCTATTACTAACAGAAAAATTACCTCTTCCTGCTTCTACATGATATCTGAAGATAGCTGCCTGCAGACTATTTGAATCCTATCGCCAAAATCATTTTCGGATGCTCAGAGAAAATAAGTATTCATGATAATAGATATAGAGAAGTAACTCAGAAAAATCACAAGTACTAAGTTTGTGTGTTTTATAGAATTTTCTATAGAATAGATTTTTCTTTCTTTTTTTTTTTTAATGTACACGGAGACAGTTAAACTAACTGATGATTTTAAAACATGAATAGAGGCTTATGAATTAATAGTGAATTTAAGTGTCAGTGTGGTCTCTAAACTAGATTGCAGGAAAGCAGGCTGCCTGAATATTGCAATATTCAAAGAGAAGGACTATATTCCTGCTTCTTTGACTTTCTTGCTTACAGCAGATTTCAAATGCTGGAAAGTTACAAGGAAATATTTTCTCTGAAAATGCTATTTAAAGCACTCAAGTTTGACAATTGTTATTGCCCCTATAGAGAACTGAGTGTTCTACAGATAATATCAGCAAATGTTAAATATCATGTGCTACCTCTATGCTATTTAAAGGACTTTTATGTTCCAGAGAACAATTCAGTTAAATTATTCAGCAATTCATAAAAAACAAGCTACTGCTTTAGGGGTTACTCTCTCTGGACATTAGAAAAAAGTGTTCACTTGAAGATCAACGCCTCATTTTCTGTCTATTTTATCAGGCTGAAGAGCCATTAGCACTTCCAAAAGATTGTTTAAATGAGGAAAAAAAAAAAAAAAAGTAATACAATCAGGAAAACAGGACAGAGCAATTTATTCCAAGAAACAGACTTGAAGCAAGTTCAGTGTGAACTGGTGGTATTGGAGAAGGTGGCAAAAAGCATGGTTAAACATACATCAGTACTTTACTGCGTTGCCTGCAACAGAACTAATTAGCTAAATACTCTCTACTAGGGTTAGGAAGTATTGTTGGGATGCTTCCTTACCTTATCGCTTTCTGCTTTGCTATCAGGAATGATTTCTGACTGTTCCAATAAAATAGGAAGATGTGCTCTCATTATTGGCTCATGACTGACGCTGCTGACAGTAAAATGTTGCACAAACCTTTCAAAAATAAAAGTTTATTTTCTTACAATCAAGACTAAATGACTTCATTCACAAACAGTTGGGAAATAACTAAATAAGATTGTTAAAAGGTCAAACAGAGGCTTCCTACAGAGGAAATAATTCATCTCAGAATAAAATATCTAGTGTGAAGACAGAATTATTAAATAATCAATTTTTAGACAAGTATTACATATAGTAAAATATTTTTGTATTATTTCCGACAATACTGATCCCGTGAAAACAAAAATAATTTCTCACCTCTCTAATTCTGGAAGGGCAGCAGATATTTTCAGCTCCCTGCATCTTTCCCCAGAAGGAAAAGACAAGGCGTTGAATAGCTTCTGAACACTGGAATGCCTAAACAGAGCAAATTAATTAATTGGTTAGTTAAGGGTGAAACCTAGACATGTACCTTCTTTAAACCAGTTGGCTACATATTAACTAATAAAAAAAAATAAAGTGAGGGTTAAACTAAGAGTGCAAGAACTCCCTTTAGAATCATTATCAAAATCTTCAATGAGTGACAGCACTTTTCTGATTGTAGCATACAGTTAACGTATAATTGCACTGGAGTAAGCGGCATGAACTTACAGTCTCTTTTGTTCCACAGACAGGAATTCTTCCTGGACAACCCTTAAAGATAAGCCTGAGTTTGTCTGGTTTTGCCATGAAGAGAAAACCTGGAACAAACCAGACCTATGCATAAGTGTCATTACTTTGCAAAATTTGTTTTGATTTTTTTAGGAATTGTTTTTGTTCCTCTAAAAAAAAAAAAATAACCCACACACCCGTGCATTTTAACTAGTCATTAGATATTCCAGAGTACTGGTTTTGCTGCAAGAATTCAAAATATTGAGGAAATCTCCACAGATCAGGTTTTCTAAGGTCCTCTTTGGCTAGACCGGAAATGCTTTAAGAAGTAACTTTACTTAACTGGGTCTAGTTTCCCCCCTCATCCTCATAGCTGAGGAAAAAATCCTAGGGAAAAGGTTTACCCACACAGCAACAGCACTATTCACGTGAATCTTTTAGTCATAGCGTGATTCACTGATAGAAATGCTAGGTATTTAGAGTCCAATTGCTGTACAGCAGGAACGGAATTAATATGTCTCCTTCAAGTCATACTGTAATTTTCATGAGGTAAGATTGCAGCAATCATTTCTATAAATTTAAGGAAAACACTGTTCTTTTGCAAAAGAAAAGGGAGCCCTTCGTTTCTCTAGGGAACAGTGTTTTGGCTTAGATCCTAATGCTCTAGCCAAGTCACATTAATATGAATGGCAGTCTGAACCTAGAAATCAGATTCAGATGAATCACACAGTCATTTAAATGTTCGGTATTTCCCTTCTTTTAGTAAGTAAAGGCAACAGCCATTGTCATTTTTCACAATAATTTGCTGCAAGACAAAACAACTCAGGAGGGAAAGACTGCTTTCCATGAACATATCGGCAGTCTAAACACAAGGGTACTGAGATAAAAAACATCAACATAAAATAAACTTTTTATATTAACAAAGACACTATTGCTTATGTAGAAGGATCCATGCAACCAAACAAATAACCACTTCAAAACACGTAGTCATTTTCCTTAGTCTCTTATACAAGGGATGGAAAGAAGGACTGGTCAACAGAAAATTGTATTCTTTAGAAGTCAAAGGCTTAGGGATAAAGTGGAAACACAGGTCAGACTGAGACAGCACTCAAAGGAAATAAAGTGGTCCTTTTTGTATAACTTAACAAACATTTTTAAAAAGAGCTGCTATGGCACTAGAGAAGGTGAAGAAAACCAGAGAAATCAATACATCCTAAAGCCTAAGCAAATTTTCCACCCCTACCAATTCGAGTGAGGACGTGAAAGGTACTCTCATGTCTTCGCAGGACCTGCAAACCAGATTCCAGCTCTGTGTGCTCAAAATCTTGCAACCATCTCATCTACAAGGAATTTAATACACACAGATCTCGAGGAACGGGTAACTGCCATTCCCTATTTCAAGGAGGCTTGAATAATTATACCATAGGTCCAGTAAGAGAGGTACCATGCCATATAACAGTAGAAGACTAAAACTAGTACCTGCATATTAGTGAATTTTTGTAACTACAGGTCTGTAGAATGACTACTATGTCTTTATGACTTTTATAAAAGATTTTAGAGGAAATCAATAAATACCTGAAGGTAAATACTAACAAAACACAAGAATATGTTTCCACGGCTTACACAATCAGGTACACTTTATCTCATGAATGAAAACTATTCATAAGATCACATCTTCAAGGCAAGAGACACGTTTCATCTACGCTAACTTAGGCAGAGCAACTGGCATAGTGCCAGATGAGAAACTGTTAAACTGCAGAAATTGAAACTCAGTATAGAACTGTTCAGCAAAAAGCTAACTCGAAGGACAACTGGAATAAATAGCACCAGAAAAAAAAAAAAAAAAAGCAGCAGAAGGCTGGGGACATTCACCAACAAAGTTGCTTAGGGAATTCTCCATCATACCCTATGCAATTTGGCATAGCCTGAAGTGAATTGACAGCATTTTGGGGAACTAAGTTGGGAGACAGTCTACACAGCATTGAGATGCTTCATAGAAAAGTAGATCTAAATGTTAAGAATGGAAGAAACAAGGAAAAATTGGGAGGAAGGTAAGTATGAAAGCAAGAACGAGCACACAAACATTTCTTGAATCAGCTAGAGTATCAGTGGGTAGCAAAAGAGAAAGGGTCTGAAGGAGTTTCTCAGAAAATGAGCACAATCTATTAATTCAAGGCAGCAGTGAAAAGCAAAGGCCAACCAAGGGTACCTATTATTGCCTTTGTACAAGAAACAAATACCCTCATCTCATACACGATGCACAGTTTGGGTATCTACAGCCAAAAAACAGATCAAAAGAAAAGTATTACAACAGTCAGAAGGAAAGAGAACTTTTATAAGCATAGATTAAAATGAATCTGGTTTTATTTTACTAGGCCAAATAAGCCAGAAAGAACAGGTCTGAAATTTCTCAATACCACAAGAATGTCAAATAGTAGAGCAAGAAAAAAAAAAAAAAAGATGTAAAAGTAGACCTAATAAAATAAGCTGAAAATTCAAAACCAAACAAAATATTCCCAGTCACTCACATAGTAGAACAGCGGGAGGAATATAAACACTTGAGATAAAAGGAGAAGTTTTATGGTAACATTAATACTATCAGTGGGGACTGCACTCACTGAGCTAGGTGGTCTTTTCCAGTCAGTTACGATCGCATACTAAAACCCTTGTGAAGTCCTAAAAATCTCCATGCTCATTTCCTCAAAAGTGCCATTGTTATAAAATTTTGTTTATTAAAAGCCTCTGCATTACAATGCATGAAGCCAATCTACTTAAAGAATAATACAATGCCATATGGGATACTTAAAGACTTTAACAAAACTTCCCTAAGGATCATGATCCAAATGTGTTTAACCACAAAAAAAACACAATAGAACCTCTGCCACTACATACAATTGCTGTAGCCAATTATACACCAGTACTACATTTAAAATGCAACTACTAGAAAACAAGCTTTTAGAGCACTCACTGGCTTCAGAAGATAAAATGAAAGCACATGGTGAGCATTAAACTTAACAAGCAACATAGTCCCTAGAAATGCAGACATTAAGTTAAAGTTTCTCACACATGCACGTTCCTAAGACCAGGAGTGATAATGCTCCTATGAAGGACTGGGAAGGTCTACATGGCAGGGCAGTCCACTCCATGACAATCTCAAGCCTGCAAGGCAGATGCCATAGGTCACACCGAGAATCAGAGTCCCTGGTTGGAAGAGAGACTCTGGAGGTATCCAGACCCACCTCCTGCTCCAAACAGGACTATTGCTGGCAGTACAGATCAGCTCAGCCATGACTTTGTCCAGCCAAGTTTTCAAAATCTCGAAAGGTGGAGATTCACTGTGTGGGTGACCTGTTCCAGTCACTGCACCAACCTGCTGCTAACATTCAGTCTGAATCTTCAAAGCTGCAATCGATGGTTACTGCCCCACGTTATCTGCCACTACTGAAAAAGTTATCTGTAACAGTTCTTCCTACTGCAACACCCTGATTTTAGATAAAAGATAAGCAGCCTCAAAATCACATCAGCCATCTCTCTCAATATCCTCTGTGAATACCATCCAGCTTCACAGAGGTTTCCAATCTATGTCCTAACTTGATGCTCCCTCAGTATTAGCCGCCCCTTCTTCTTTCTAAACTGCACTTGTTCGCTGAGATACCGCAAAAGGTTTCACTGGTGAAGAGTGATGCAAGAAAGACCTTGAACTTTAACATTTCCTGTGTCAGGTGACAAGCTTTAGTGGCTCAACTAACATGAGAAATAAACCCTTTCTTTCCAAATTTGATCAGTTAAGATGGACAACAAATTAACCCTTATCTCTCATCTAAAACAGAAAGAATAATTGTGTGGTTCCCCCCCAACCAAACCAATCTTTCTTTACTTTACCTGTGAATAAAAAGCTTTATATATCTTTGTTTTGGGGAAAAGTGCAATCATCAAAAAGTTGTCTTGGGTATGGAATTCAATTGGTAGATGAGCAAGCAAGGAACCTTTGACATCTATAAAGAGAGCAGCAACAATACTGGTTGAATCCTAGAAAAGGAAGAAGTAGGACAAATTAAAATTAACAGTTAATGAAAGTGAAAAAAGGCTTATTACACTAAATAGCAGAGATTAGAAAAGAACTACTACAGTCAGAGCTAGGCACGCATAAAGATTTGAACATTCATTAGCTTGCACTGCCCAGCTAAGGAGCAGAAGAATCAACTCAAACCACTTGCAGTACTCCTCAGTTTCTACTTTGCAGCTATTAGAGATATCATAAGCTTTAAAGAAAGCATCTCAGACTGTTCTAAGCACCTAAGCTTTGCCTTGTCTTGAAAAGAAAAGCTTGCATTTTAATATCTACTCTTTTCCCTCCACCAAAAACTAGACCTTTAGCCCTTTCCTCTGCTAATGCTTCACAGCAAAGCCACCTTCATCTATACCCACTTATCTCCTGACACAGATACCCTGGAAGAATGAATTAAATATCAGCTAAAAAGATTAGAAGGATGGCATGGTGCTATTGCAAACTGGTTTTTATACCATGCTTTTGAATTTCTGACCTGAAAGGAATCACGCTGCAATGAGATACAACTATCAGGCCTGCGGTTTAAAGCATAGGGCACTTGCATGTCGGAAGTGTCCTGTTTCTCTTGGATTCTTTAATGAGCACAAGTTCTACTAAATCTTTTGCTTCTTCACCTTAATTATGTCTTCACCAATAGGAAGCCGAAGCCATCAAGGCTGGTCTTCCTCAGAAGCACTGAACTTAGATTGTCCAATTTTTCTTCTAATAAAACAACACTGACTCTTGGTTTTATGGATTTCAAGACAGGCATTTATGTACAACTGTGCAGGATGCTGAAGTGTTATATGCTCAAGCTTTAACTTGTAACTCTCCTCACACCACAATATTAGAAAAACAGTACAATTCAGCAGCGTGAAACATCCCTGGAAAATAGGGATTCCATAACTTTGAGATCAAATCAGAAATTGAGTAGCATTCATCTCCCCTTCAACAGGAGAAGCGGGCAAAGAACTCTACTTAATAATTTTCAGGAAGAAAAAACTCAAGTTCAGGAACTCTTATCAATTCAGAGACATTTGCAAACAGAATCTCTACTCTTTGCTGACTGAGGGATTAATTATAAAAGCAATCCTCTCAAAGTCACTGAGGTTACTGAAGAACATACAAAAATGCTCTCCAAAGACAGAGCAATTTCTCTTAAGAGAAAATGGCTTTTGGAATATGGTCCACAGATCCTGGATTCTAAAGGACAGCTTACAGATTTCATGAGAAGTGACTCAAAGGTCAACTCATACATGCTGCAATCTGCATGTGAATTGTCCAACAGAACGTGCTTCTCCTCCTGGAAAGAGTTTAGGGTTCCACAGACTGAAAAAGGCTGAAATGCAGCAGCAATAATCCCCATGGACATTAGGTTAAAAGAATCCAGTTCAAAAGTTTTACAAGATCTTAATGTTGTTGTGAAATCTAAGCATTACTTACTAGTATTTGTTCGCTTGATTAATGGCCAAAATGAATGCTGGATTCATTCATTGTTCAGTACTTACAAGCTGAAATACTTGGTCTTAAATAAGATCTTAAAACCAAGCATATAGCATCTTAAGCTCTATACAGTAAGGAAGCCTTGATACAGTTTACTGAGACACTGAACAGCTACACAAGAAAACAGGCTACACTGGGTGGCACTGTAGCCTGTTGGGTTTTCTTTTACTCCCAGTATGGCTGGTACTAAGCTAGAATACAGATGGGAGATTTATGTTTGACTCTAAGATTGGGAGGATTTCTGCTTTAGACCTTCACGGTACAGTTTTGTGAGTAATCTAGTTTACCCTGTCCTCCCTGCACTTGATGTCTATGAGCCTCAAGGACTTCAGAAGCTTAGGTGGTAGCTAGGTGCCCAACTTCTCAGAATAGAGAATTCTGCAATGCGTGTTGGAGGCAGATATGCCGACATTTTCAAGTTAAAAAGAGAAGCATCTAGCGGGTATGGCGATAGAGCTGCTAAGAAACTGTACTTTGCATCACTTAAAGTCTTTATATCTTTTATTTAAATCCTAGCATCAAATTATCCTTTCTTTTCCATTAATATTGTTGATGCAATAACTTTTGGAAAAAGCATACTAACAATTATCCTTCTTCTCCTGTCACTTCTTAACATTTTAAGCTCTCCACCCTTGTATTATGCCAAGTCAGTTGAACAATAAATGCTCTTTGTCAAGGTTTTGCTTTACACAAAAATCTGGCATCAATTCAAGAATGATAGCCAGGTCCCATAAATAGCTAGTTTTATGAAAGTGAGTGTCTTGAATCAAACAATAGAAGGAAGGTCAGTGTTAAAATAACTTCTTAAACTACCAAGGGGCAATCAATATGATATACAAGAAAAGGCAGCTAAGGTAAGATTCTCTTCACTCTTGTGTTTTTATCTCAATTGAATCACACACTTTTATTGTATTTTACTGGTTTCCTCCATTATATGATGAAATCACAGCAACACAATGCTTTCTGGAGGTCACTAAACAAATGTGTAATACTGTACCTGAAGAAAATAGAAACTAAAGGAAATGGAGATTTTTTTTTTTCCCCCCAGTGCTTAGGAAACAATAACTAACCAAAATAATCTCCTTTCCATTCTGAAAGATTGATAGTTAAGCTAGCATATCTGCCTTGAAGAGGAAAAAAAAAAAAACAAAAACCAAACAGCTGAGTTGCCATCATTAACCTAACTCTCAATTCCCACTCAGCCAGAAGACCAAACTATTAGCATGGCAAATTGGCCAAGCGAAGTGATAGAAGTTGATCACAGGAATGGCAAACGCCTACACCTACCATTGTGTCTTTTACTGTAATTACTCAGGATATGTATAGTTACACGCAACATGCCTTTCCTTCTCACTTCTCAGCTTGGGCAACATGAACCAGTCATTCCCTTCACCCTGTCAGTTATACAATGCTCCATGACAGTAGACAGACACTGCTCGTGACCTCTCCAGAGATAACTAGTACTCTGCTATGAACATTTGACTGAAGGTTAAATATATTTTGAATAGAAGCCAGCATTTCACCCTCCAATACACCATATGTCTTCACAATGCCTTGAACTTTTCTCTATCCATCACTTAAGACTGCTTGATGTTCTACGAATGCTATGCTCTGCAATTTTTCTTTTAATAAAAAGCAATTTTCCACCCTATTAAGACCACATTGATAACTCAGTCTAATACAAAACTCTCTCCTCCTCAAAGTTCAGCCAATTTCTGATTAGCTATGTTAACCGACAGCAAAAGTGTAGAGATTTGCATCAGTTATTACACCTTTACACACACACTTGTGAAACTGCAACTGAAATCGAAACTTTGTACTAGAATCCTACAGCAGTATCATTAAAAACTGATAAAAAGTTTATGACAGTAGGAACAAACTTAATACTCACCCCATCATAGAGAGAAATGGAACTCATATGGTTCTTTGAAATGGAAATGCTGCCATGGTGGGGATCAGAAAAGAGAATGCCATCTGAAAAGAAGTACAATTTGCCTAGAATTTAAAAGAAAAAAAAAATTGCATTAGGTATACATCAATGTTTCAGCATCATGTCACGAACACCTCTGCTTTCTGAGGAAGAAATTTATGTTCTTGCAGAATTTTATTATATTTAATATGCAGTACATTTGAGTAAAACTTCGGGATAGTACCTAGACAGCATTTAGAACACAACCATTCTATCTTTACTTGATTTCACTATCAAGGACAGGAATCATGACTATGATTGCATTTGACTTAATGTTAACCCCTGGAGCCCACTTATCGTAAATATTCTGTGGCTTTTCTTCTTTTTAAACTGAAAAAATTTCCATTATGTTGAATTGCAAACTTCCAGAAATATAAAACTGACAAAACAAGAACTTCAGAAAAACTTACATACAAAACAACTGAAAATTTAAACATTGTGACAAGTTGGTCAGATTTTTAGCAAAATGACAATATACTAACACACACAGACAGCAAAAACATCCCCAACCAAACAAACAACAACCAAACATGACAGTTTTCCTTTCACTTCCTGACCAAGACAAAGTCTAAAACAGAAAAGCCCTTTACCTGTAGACTTGCATTTTCTTTTGAGTATAGACACAACTGTTACTGGACTAGCAATTTCCCTGGAAACTAACAATCTAATGACAATCAAGAGAGACATGGCATGCATTCTGTCTCCGTTTTTCTTGTCAACTTACATACACTTTGGTTCTTAACAAACCTGCATGACCAGGGAAAGCAGCTGGAAAATGAGAAACAGCAAGGCTAGATGCTATAATGGATAAAAATAAAATTCCACCAAAGCACTAAAAACTGACATCAGCAAAAAGCTAATTTCCAACGGTCGTAAGAAAGCCATGAACAAATGGCTAAGCAAGGGTTGCCAGCTGGACCTCTGCTACCAGTGCTGGACGATGCATTAAAACCTGGATCACATCCCATACAGAGAAGCATGTGAGTCAGCAAAAGGGAAAGGTTAAATATTTTCTTTTAAAAGGGGGGAGGGGGGAAGACAAAGAAAAAATGGCCTTACTCAGAGTCACATTCTACAAAACCAAAGCCAAGCAGCAAAAGTAACTAAAACACACAGCTAAAAATGACTGCACATCTAGCTCAATCAAACAATGATTGGCAAAAAAAAATAAAGAAATGTCTTCCTTTTGAAATGGCAACTCAGAATAAAATCTTTAAAGTTGTTCAGTATTAAGGCTTTGTTTTAATACAAAAGAGCTTGATATGAAATCAAATCACCATTTTAACAATTACCTAAAAAAATATATAGGCTCTGCTAACTATGAACCTAACTGTTTCAGACTGAAGCTTCTAGTTAACATAAAAGTAGCACTGGAGAGACAGCTACTATTACATTGGGCAACAGTACAACCACAAATTCAAGGTCCAAATTCAGATCAAGCAGAATGGAGACAAAGCCATACATAATTACATAAATGTGCAGGCTTAACTGTTTACATATACAATATGTTCATTGCTGATACTTCCAGTGCTCACAAAACCCAAGCCACAGCACAGGTACGTGCCTGCTATTGAGTGAAAGGAAGAAAAAAAGCAAAACACTTGAAATACATTTCCGTCAAATCTCACAGAATATCAACTTTCACAGGCAACGTGTCAACGGGGAAAGAACGGAAATCAGAGATGTTAATTCTTTTGTAACAGAAAAGCAAGCAAAAAAGACTATTAATTAATCCAAACTAAAACAACTTCCTTCAATATGGAAGTCAGTGAATTATATGAAGAACAACTTGATGTGCTACTTGAATATTTTCCACAAGTGATTAAGCACAAAAGAGAGTTTAATTGGCAAGATTGACAGACTCAGTTAAGTTCATCCTACAAAAATCCGTAACACAGCAGATGTATCCACATACAAAGGAAAAGGTTTAACAGCCTGTACTTTTTTCACACATTTTAGTCATGAATGCATAACTTATTACAGCAAGACACAAGTGACAGAGAGAGAAGATGAGTGCCTGTCTGACAGCACCTTTTGCATCTAATCTTAACAGACTACATAGCTGCAACTTCAGTAGAGCCCAAATTAGAGCACAGCAAACTGCCTTGCAGCATACGTGAAAGGGAACAAGATCAAGTTCATTTTCACTTGACACCTAAGAAAATATCTCGCTTGTTGAAGTGTTACATAATAGTCCTTATACCACCTACTTATAACTCTCCATCCCAAGAGTTATCAAAACATTTAACTTCACAAATCTCCCCAAAAAAGGAAAAAAGTAAATTGCTCCACTGGGGCTCACATAGTCAGTTATCACATAGCCAAAAAAAATTTTGCCATTCTCTAGTTATTTACTGAGTGAACATGCACTCACAGCACTGTATTGCAAAATAGCTAAGTATATTACTCTGCATTAACCTTCTTCCTTTAAAATCTGTTCAATTAGAGCAAAAGCAAATTCTGCTATCTGAAGGCTGCTGTTTAACTGCCTTGTACATCATTATTTATCCTCAACACTACACTGCATAACTACAACGAACAATAAAGCTAAGGCTTTTCCTCTAAAGATCGTCTAACAGCAGCTAATACTAAGCACTTAGATGCCAGGTACTAGTTATCTTCTGTTGTACATCAGTACTGTGACAACAGTACTTTCTCTGTACAATGGAATATAAAAATATTATGTCTTAGGAAGTATCTATTGGTTCAAGGCAAAGCAAGGCACATTAACGCAAGGCTGCGGAGTAAGGGCAACCCCTCCCAACAGTTCTCCAAAATTGTCTTTAGTTGTATTACTGGGATATTAATATTACTTAAATTCGTGAAGGAAAACGCACCAAAAGAGGAGGAATGATCTAAGACTGTTGCTAGTAATCTCGTGTCAGAAAGCAGTAACTTGACCAAATCTGAAAAGGACCGAGATCAAGCATCTTTCTGTAATACAGTGAGCATCTGAGCTAACAAGCACTGAAGTTCTTGAATGAAAAAGACAATGGCAAAAAACTGGAACAGCATGTCAGCTCCAGGAGGCGGCTTCGGTAGGCACAAAGAACACAAGGCTGTAAATAAATTTAGAAGCAAAAGCATTCCAATCCCCTCCTGCTCCACAGGCAGCATATCACATTGCCCAAAAGGCACATATTTGCCCTCACTTCTTGAGCTGGGAGCCCATGGCATCCTGTCACTACTGTAATGCCCAATCCTTCCAACCTAATGTTCATATACATACAGAAAAGGCAGAGAACATATGGCATATCATCTATTAAGGGCAGAAGCAAGCAGTTTGTGCATGCTTTCGAATGTTAACTATGGAAAAAAGCCATCTCCCAGGTCTGCAAAGCCTCACTGTCAATCATACAAGGGCCCCATGTGCCTCAAAAGCAACCCTATGGCTCTGACAGGAATCCTTCTTTTGTCACTAGGAGTTTCAAGCAGAGGTTGGGGACAAAAAATAAGACATGGAGTTTAAGGAGAGACTTGTCAAGGCAAATGGAAAGAAATCTTAAGATGATGGCATAGGTAGGCTCACCAGATGTGTGAATCCCGGAAACCGTGCATCATTTTTATGGTTAAAAAGAAAAAAAAAAAAACACAACCCACAAACAACACACACACAAGAAAAAGTGAACCAGCTCTATAAGCAATTAAAAATAAAAAACACCAACACCACACATCTCACCTTCTGCAGGCATGGCTTGTGGATTGCTAGAATAAATATATGCTCCATCGCCTCCAGTAAGTAAAGTGCCCAGAAAAGATTTGTCTTCCTAAACACGAAAACCAAACAAACAGTAGTATCACAGACTGGATCATGGACTGTAATCCAGGCAAGAATATTTTCTCATGCTTTTGCTTCAAGTGAAAGGGTGTGGGTTTTTTTAAACAGCATCTGTCAGAATTTTTTTTAGAGTTTTAAACTGCATTGATACAGAAGAACTAGTGAAAGAAAGCATGTTAAAAGTGTAATTTTTAAAAGCACTTCCCCCCCCATTTTGGTTTTGCCAGCACCTATTAAGTTACAAGTTATTGTCACCACCACAAGGCATAACTTTTTGTTTTTTAGATTGTCAATCTACTGAACTAAAAGTGTATTGCAGGAAAATAAATCTAGTTATAATGAAGATTTCTGGTAACCACAAATTAAACCACAAATGCGAAACTCATGTGGTTTAAGATGTCCCCAGATCCCAAATTCTTGTCTTTTTCATAGTGCTTGAAGTGTTTTCTTTCAGACATTTAGCACACTAATTAAGTTAAGAGAGTTGCATGTAGAGTGGCATAGATTTTTGGGGGTTTTTGGAAACACATGAGCTCCGTGGGTAATACTTAGTGAGACTTCCATGAAATCGTAGCTTTATTAGAACTCTTTCTGCTCTTGGGTTTGTCATTCTTTGAAATAAAGAAAACCTCAAACTTTTACACACAACATATTTTTTTTGTAAGTCAAAGTTTGAAAGAGACAGGCTAGAACAGGCAAGTCTTTCGTAGAAGAGGAGTAACAAACATAATACACCCCAGTTTTGCTACCAGCTAAGATTTTTTGAATACTGGTTCTTGAAAGTGTGATTTCTATAGTTTAACAACAATCTTTAATTTTACCTTTAATATATGCTGTGCCTTTTCCGACAGTTTCACATCACTGTCTTCAACCTGTAGCCAGAAACAATTTCCATTTGTATCGTTAGTAGATCAAACAAGTATAACGTTAAATAAAAAGCACTGAAAAAGATTCCAGGCAAACAAAAAGCTTAGGTACTACAGATAGATAAAGTCCTGAGACCAGAGTACCTCGCAAACAAAAAGCTTAGGTACTACAGATAAAGTCCTGAGACCAGAGTACTTCAAAGACAGCTTTGTGCTCTTCAGTACTGTGTTATCATGGGACTGAAATAACTCCCTGAAACACTTTCAAGGGGATACTTCCCATTTAAATTGTTTTATAGACTAAAACAATATTGTATAGACACAAAGTAGTGTATCCCATTCAGTCTTATTTTTTATTACTGTTAAAGTGTTTAAGTTCGGACTGTCAAGGGGCATAATGTTGTCCAACTTCATAACATTCATTGGAATTATACCTCTAATGTAGTGTAGTACCTTAGAGGTCTGGAAGCAGACCTTTCTTCCTGTTGGGGCAGACATTTAAGTGATCTAAAGTGTCCCACAATAAATAGAATTTTCAAATGTCACACCATGTACTTGAAAATCAGCCAGGCCTTTACACAGCTAAAAACTGAAGTGGTGAAAATTATTTAATTTAAAACTCATGTTATGAATGGAACCACCAGCCTGTTTATACTTCATGTCCAAATTCAAAAATCAGAAGAGTATTAAAATATTAGAATTCTGTTTCAGTGTCCAGGTTCCATACTTCTTCCTCATACAGCCATACTTTTGTAACAAGTTTTCATTTGTGAATCTGTATGCATAGAAAAAACTCAAGTAAGATTTCGCATACTAACCAGCCAAGAAGCATATCTTGGGATAGCTGCAGTCAGTATTACGTGGCTGGTTTCTGAATGAATGCTGCCATCTGCAGGGAAGTAAATGGAAAGCAAAGTAGCATAACACCATCCATATACTTCAGACTGTTCAATAAAGAACTGTTATGACTTGAAATTTCTTTAGGAAATATGAAAATCTCATTATTTTAAGGACTTATTAGTGTTTAAGTGAAGCTTTCACCGCAGACTAGCTCACAGTTGTCTTGTGCTGTAACATACACAGAGCTGCTATACAGTACCAAAGAAACCCTGATTTTATTCTGGTGTTAGTATATGGCTTCCTCCTTTGCTCTCCTCCCCACCAAATCCCACAGTTAGAAAGCAACAGCCTGTCTGGACACAAGACTTCATAAATATTGTTCAGACAACCCCAATAACTAACTTTGTCATATGTAAACAATCTGGAAAATATGCACTTTAAAGTTATGGAAATTACTCAGTATCCTGTATTTTAAATGTAAGACTGTTCCAAAAACAAGATTACTAAAAATCCTATCCTTTTTAGTTTTGTTTCATCTCTTCCAAACAAAGAGCAACTGAAACTAAAACATATTCTATAAAATTAGTGTTACAAAAGTGATGGAAGAGAGCTGTTTGAATTTCCTCGTAAAATAGAAAACGTTCACTAAGATTGAAGAAAATTTAGGAAGGGCACTATTACACTTTTTTTTTTTTAAACACCTCCACCCTGCTCTATCACATGGCAACATAAAAACCGAAAATCCTTTCAGTGAGATTAGAGAAACCTAATAATTAAGGTATTCATTACTAGCAAGCTAAAACATTTAGGTCTTTTAATTAACCCAAAAGCTTAAATCCATAATGGTAATATTAATAGCATCCATCAGAAGCCCTTTTGCTCTTCCATCACACCAAAGCTAACAGAATGACAACAGTGGTGTTAGAATTTAAAATGTCTACCTTTTTCTTTAACTTGTATCTGTGATGTTAGAAAGGACTCCGAAAAGACAACAGATCCCAAGCATCCTCTTCCTGTGAGCAAGTCTGGAATGTCAAATACCATCATAGATGCCTACAGCAATCAAACAGTTGGACAGAAAGGAAGAGAAAGGAGAATTTGAAACATTTCAATAGAAGCAGCAAAATCCATATGTTTTAAACCTCCTAAAACACCACTTCTGTATTGTGGTGGAAAGTCTGAGATCATAACTCTATGTTAATGTTTTATTCCAAATTCCACTGTTTGACTTCACGTTAAAACCCCGTCTCACCTCAGTTTCAGCATCTGAAATCTCTCTCATCTCTCCCCTTACATTTGTATTCACATAGATCAAAATCTCAGCAAGCCCCATAAAAAAGCCACTCGAGCTCTATTTTCTAGTAAAATGTATAATCAGAATACTGAACAGCTTACTTACCGTTTTAATCAAACTCAGGCTGTCCTCATTATCTAATGGAGTAATTCTAGAACAATGATGATAATTAAATATTTAAAGGTTAGATCATTTTGAGTGACTTCATAGCAGCCAAAAGTGCTATTTAATTTTAAAATGAATTCTTATTTGTGTACACCATTTCAGTCAATTAGACAACATGGGGATTAAAAAAGCACAAGCTTGTGATATCAACTAAGTTAAAAGCACAGTTTTAAAACAAAACTCTTAATGGGCTCATGCTGCTTCTACTAGTTAACAGTTAATAAGATTGGTCTGCCCCGTTGTTTTCGTTATTTTTAAATTTTTTTAAGATTCCACAGAATTAAGACATGAAATCATTAAACTGTCTCATACACAAAAGCATTTAGTACATCTTGTATGAAATAATCAAATCCAAGACAAGAAAAATAAACTTGTTACTGTATTAAAACCACTAACGAATAATAAGAATTGTAATACAAACCTTCCATGATTATTCACAGCCTGAATTTGAAAAGTGATTTTGGAACTGTAGAACAGAAAGTGTACCGGTGAAAAATTTGCTTTATACTTCTTCTACACATAAAAAATAAGCAAGAATAGACTTAAAGCAAAATTACTGAAGTGATTAAAAAAGCAGAAGAAAAATGGAATATTTATAATCATTTTAAAAGTCTAAATGCATTATGAAGTCTTGGAATTTGGCAGTCACGCAAATTCAGTTTAAAATTAATATTTGACATGTTTTCCTAAAAGAAGCTAATGCATTGACACAGTACATCAACCAATAAGTATTTGAAAACACATACCGCAATGCAGTTTTAAGTTGTGTTAAATGAAGGGTATCCAACACAGACATGAGCATCTGCTCTGCTACATCCTTTGCCTGAAAAAAGGAAAACGAGAATAAAGTATCTTTTCCAATACTTCCAAATCACAGCAACTACAGCAGCACCCATAAGATAAACAAGAGAAACATACACTAAACAGTAACACACTGATGCACCAGGCTAAAATTTGTTCTTTCAGATATCCGATTTTCCTTACTATAAGATTAGGAAAATTCATGAAAGACTGAAAAACAATTGTAGATGGGTAAGATTAGATATACTCTGAAACACCTCTTTTTTAAACAGCATTCAGAGAGACTGGTTGAAGGCCACGGTATTAAATTCATTAATGTTATGCAGTTGACTGAAACATTTTATTCTTTTTTTGGTTTGCATGTAATCTTACATTGCAAGCAATCCAAATCAACAATTACAGTGTACAGAATTGGTGCTTCATTTACCTTGGATTCACTGGAAGTTTTAGCATAGCACTCAATGCCAGCAAGCACAGCCTCTACAACAGCAGTATATATTTGCGACAACAGCGTACTGAAGAGAAATACAAACACAACATTTACTAGACAGATAGAGTTTTCTTCCTCCTCTGCTTAAAGGAGCAGTTTTTCCTCTCATAAGAGAACTCCCTTATATCGAAGGGGTCCTTGTTCAAATAGCATAGAAATAGTTTTATACGTAACCTTTCAGTTTAAAAAAAATAAATTAGAGCAAGTAAATTGCTCAAATTATAGAGTATGTTGGGGGAAAAAACTTATTTGCATAAATGTATCCCTGCTCTCATCAGTCAAAAAAAAAAAAAAGACAATGTTTTATGTTGACGACTTTTGCTGCAGTTGTGTTGAGGATCACATCCCAAGTATTCCAACAAGAAGAGAATGATAGCCCCATGTAAAACTGGAAGACAGAGTGAACCAGCTTCAGAGACTGACCTGTTCTGGAGCATGTCAAGCAAAAAAGATACCAAAACAAACCAGTCACCACAACCTTTTGGGCACATCTACATCACAGCTTAGTCTGATTCCCTTCTTAAAACAGACTTGAAAATAATGTACATAAAGAAACAAAGCTTAGGTGAAGCCAGAAGTGACTTATGACTTGTAGCTACTGATATATTTATAGCTCCAGAACTATTGAAAAAATCCACCTCTGCCCAACTAAGAAACATCAGCCTCTGTCTTCCAGCTAATTTGGAACAAAAAGATAAGGAGATTGACAAAACAGTCCTACTTCCCCAAACTTTAACTTCTCTCATTACTCCTCTGCAACTGCTGGATGTTGAGGGAGGGAAAAGGGGGGAGGAAAGAGAAGGCTACAGCATTTAAGCCATATGCAAAGCATTCCTGAAGGATGGAAAAAAACATATGAAGCTCCCAAACATGGTCCAACATGTAAGAACCTCAAAATGCACCAACACTTGTCTTTGAACTTCATCCCAATAGCAGTAAGAGATTTTAAAATTGAACCTTCTTACTACTTTTTGAGGTTTCTTCTATGTAATTTCATGGACCTAATGTATTAACACATGCATTTAACTTATGTTTTCAGTACACCCTTGTTACAGGAAATGCGTGTAGTTCTTCCTAAATCTGTAACCATTCCTATCTTCACTCAAATTCATATATATATTTGCAAGAAAACACCTCACAGTGGGCTGTGCTTCGCATTAATATGCTATAGTTACCTTACTCTTTCTCCCATTTTAAAGTTTTAACACTAACAATGCAAACCAGAAAATGGGGTTTTCTAAAAAAAAAAAAAAAAAGTTAAAAAAATACAAAGTTTACCCCAGGGGTACTTAAAAGTTACACAGTCAGTTTATGCACTCCAGGTTGCAGTTCTGCTTCCTAAATACAGCTAAATTGGACTGGACAGTGCTTATTTTTCCACTTTTTATTTCACTGGAAAACATTGACAAATGTAAGAACCAGTTACAAGACTCAACTGCAAACTTATCCTGAAATCATGAGGTCACGTTTGCCAGAAAAGCTAATTTTGCTGTTGTTGAAACTAGATTATTTGATCCAATACAGGGACCCTTCCAAGAACAGAATATTCTCAAAGAAAATACTGCCTCTATCAATAGACTCCTCCTTTGCTTAGAACCCCTCTAGCCATCTGTGAAAACTGTATTTAGTGCAAAGTCTTTTAGATGTAGGACAAGAGATCTTCTATCTGTTTGAGCAGAATGTATATGTAAGGAAGATTACCTGTCAAAGTCACCTTTACTATAAAAAAATAAAATAGAATTCTGCTGCTCAGTTTAGGAACTTCACTTTTACACCTGAGAACCATATCACAATTAACAAAAGTCAACAGTACTTCGCATGAAAGGTCACCGCTACCAGTTCCCTCTGACACATCATTAGTATCTCACTAACCTGTCATGCAGGCTTGCAAACTGCTCCACTGCAGAAGCAAGAACAGGTTCCTAAAAATATCCTAACTAGCAAGGAGGACAAAAGTCTCTAAGGAAAGGTTTGGTTTATCAAGATTGACAGCACTAACAAAGCAGATTATCTACCATGCTCTTAAAGCTTGACAGGTATCTACAACATGCACAGAAGTGGACATCAACATGGATAAACAAAGTGCTATTTTGTGAAGGTCAAAACGGGCAGAAGCTTTGTAGCTTATGAACAAAAAAAAATCAGAAGTTAACTTTTATCTATCCTTTCACATAGTGAAATTTATTTGCAAGTTTGAGAGCTCCCTGTTAGCATTTTCACTAGCCACTACAAATCTTACACATTATTTAGCTTAATGAAACTAGTCTAAAAAATTACTTTTACTTCTATCTATGGAACATGCTCCCATTCAGTTATAGATACTTTTTCCCCCAGTGTATATGAAGTACATTTCAAAGTGATTCAAGTAAGTGTTAAGTTAAAAGTTAAGTTAAATTTAAAAGTTTTATTAAAATTTAAGCAAAATTTACTAATATTTCCTTTCATACTTTGCCATAGAGCAGAAGGGATGTCACACTAGTTTACTCATTAACATCCTTTGAAACCCTCTCACATTCATGCTATTCTAAATGAAAACGCATCTCTGCAAATGCCAACAGCCGCTGCTGACTAAAAGCGTTTTTTACCTACTACCACAAGGTATTAAGTGCAAAGAGTTAAGGAATAATAAAAAGTTGGCAGCTTACACTTGTTCAGCTTGCTTGTGCATCTCATTGTCATTTCCTGTATTAAAACCAAGAATGTTTGTTTTAAGCACTTTCAGAAGCGTTTACACAGAACTTCTTGGGCATAACATTTCTGCTGCATATTTTACATGATATTTATCCAGTATCTTATGTAACTGCAGCTTGTTTGTAGATTTAAAAAGCAGCAAAGCACAGGTTAACTTCTATCAGTACAGCCAGTACACACTATAGCCAAGACTAAGACCCGCATCCCCTAAAAACAGCTGCATTGGGTCAAAACAAAAATCTCTCTCATGCTGTATTCTGTCTCCCAAAGTGGCCGTTCCTTGATGCCCAGGAAAAAGCACAACCAGAGCAAACATATGCTATAATTCCTTCCATTTTGCAAGCCTCCAACCATCTTCTCTTCAGATACTTTCTGAGCTGGATAAGGTTTCAAGATAATATAGTAACCCTAAGGAGACTGACTTTATCCTCATCCAAGGACTCATGCAGTCATTTAAAATGGGAAAGAAAACTGTTTTTAAGAATTCACCATGGCTTGTTTTTATTCAGAAAGACAACTATTATAACACTCTCTTTGACCCAAACCAGATGATAAAAGATAAAAGTCGAATAAATTTCTCTGTCCATTTAAAATCCTTAATTATTTTGTTAAAAAAGCAGGCTTATTTGACAACTACCACTTTGAATTACTAGATTTTTGAGGATTGTTCTTCTATCAGTGTGTATGGAACACCAACTTAAATGTTTATTTACTACTTCTAAGAGGCCTCCACACTGCAGGTGCTCTCTACCTTCACACTGTATTCTGACGCAAACACAAATACACTTCTTGAGCTTCGAATCATTCTTTGCAAGTATCTGGCAGATTTTCACACATGAATGTAAGACACGCAGTGGAACAATGTTCCATTATGAATTCATGCACCAGCTACAGAATTACACAGTATCTGCCACTGCATGACCTAATGCTCCTAAAAGGAATCAAAACTATCTTTTAACCACTACAAATTTTAAATAATCAAAGAGAACAACTGCCCCAAATTACTGCTTGGTGTTTTTAATATACTTACCCAAGAAAGGAATGTGAGTGGTTCCAAAAAAATAGGTCCTCGAACAAGCCAGAGGTCCCTTCGGAGATACACACTGCACTACCTAGTTGTTGGTATTAATGAGATACAAAAAGATGTTAGTAAAAAAAAAAAAAATGGTGCAATAATTAACGATAAGCTAAGTTCCCCTTAAGTCTTCTAACCACTGACGTACTACAGGAAGTTCACAACACAGACTTAACTGGATTTTTAAAAAAGCAACTTACGTTTTCAAAGGTATATTTCACTTTTGACTTGACCTGAATGGTTGAAAGGCTTTGGAAAGGAGATGAGCTCTGACTTCCATAAGCATTAAGCATGTGTTTTCGATTTCCTATGTCAACTGCTCTTTTCATGAAGAGGAAAGTGTGTCGGGTTCCCATAACTATGCTTGCACTTGGTCTTATTTACTATTTTCATGACACCCTATTAAAACTGTACCACCTGTACCTGTAAATAAACCACCTTTTTAAGAACAATGTCAGAATCTGAGGACAACAGATGGAGCTAGTACTGCATGAGAAAAAAATTGTACCTGCATTATGAAAGATACTAAATGGTCTTAATGGGAATGTTAAGAAGGGGAGGAAAAAACAAAATTGGAAGTGTTTTTACAGAAATAGGATTAGATAGAGCAGCAAATGGAGGATGAGATTTCACCGAAACACTAATACGATCCTTTCTCAGGCTTCTGATTAATGCAATGTGTCCAGAATACCCACATACATCCACCCCTAAGGCAGCTATGCACGAAATGTTGTCATGACAAGATCATAAAAATCATTCCCTCAATCATACGTTCACTCCATGATGACCTGTACTCAACCACATCCATCTCCTCAACAGCACAGACTTCGGACTCGCACAACTGACGGACACTCCCAGAGCCCGTGGCAATGGGCTAGCAGGGAGAACTACACAATGCAATCTGCACGCTACCTCTCCTCCTTCGCTGCGAGTTACCTTCTTGATGCACCCAGCCCAGCCGGCCAGAGGATCTGAATTCCCTGGGGTCGCTTCCCCAGTTACGTCCCCTGCGCGGTGGTGCAACAAGCCATCGACCTCATCATATGTTTTAAAACTAAGCTTTTACTTGAAAATGGAAACAAGTTAATCTTACAACTTGATCTTAACATTCTTTGAACACCAGAAAGATTTGCAGTTTCATGATCTCTTCAGTTGCTGAAGCATACACTGAAATTTGGATACACGTAAGTATCCTTTGGCTATTCACAGTCATTATCAAACAAAACTGTCTTTCCATTTCTTTAAGAAATGGCTAAACAATTCTAATTAAAATAAAATCTGTGTGTCAGTTAAGTACATCATATGCTACCATCAGAGAGACTTTCACTTTATGGTGAGGACAAACATCCTCACAAAAAATATTTCCCTCTCCCCCACCCCACACATTTACAGCAACACAAGTGTTAAAAAAGTTCTTTTTAAAGGGGAAAAATATTTTAACTCGTTCAGCACTCCCTGATTAAACATCCAGTGTAGTTTCACTTGGACAGACAGCGAAATAGGAAATTTGTTCCTTAAACGGACTGATTGTTAAGGTAACATATGTTTTCATATGTTAAGAATTTGGTAGTTAACTCATGGAAGGTACAAAAAAAAATATATACAAAGAAATAGAAAATATACACTGTTTCAAAATATCAGATAACTACTTAAAAGCCTTACCATATGCTTAGCAGTGCTTCCACCAAGGCCAGTGTTTCGAACAAGATGTCCTTCTGATGGAAAATTAAAGTTACCGGAGTTCAAGTTCTCCTTAGTTGAGTGGCTACCAAACAGAACGAAGGGCTGCCGGCTAGGGCTGACAAGAAAAGAGGGTATCACCACCAAGATACTTGAAGAAAACTTACAACCAACAAATGAAATCAAAGCTTTCAAGTCTGACCATTGAATTTCTCACTAAAGGAGTAGGACAGAAAAAAAATATTTACTACAGCTGCAGAAAGCTTCCCATTGAAAAGACCAAGTTCCAAAGAAAACAACCTACTTGATTTAACAAGACTGTAATTTCTTTCATACACAAGAACACATCTCAAGGCCGTTTCTCAAATGCTATTAGAAACGTTTGGGGTTTTCTTCTATTTTAAAGTCAATTAGCTTGAAAAGCTGACTAATTTAAAATTTACAAAACCCTGAAATTACTATATTGATAATAAACAAAATTATTTTAATTTTAGTTCTGGCTTTGGGCCCAAGATTCAACTGGAGAGGTCAAGGTTTTTCTTTCCTTTATTTAAAAGCAAACAACATAGGATGCTGGAAACAATAAAGGACACTGAACTCCACTGTTTAATTCCAAATAAAGAAGAATCGGCAGAGACAAGCAAGTAGCTAAGCAACCTTTATTTAGCACAAAACAGCAGAATGCTTGGTTTTGCAACATAGGACAAACAACCTTCCCCTCTCAATTAAAATTCTATGCTGAAATAAAATAAAGCTGACCTGTACTGCCCAGCTTATATTGGCTAAGATTTGCATTTTTAACTGCCAAGCATTCATCTTGTGCATGTTGTGACTCACAAAAGTATACTGACCTTCTCAACCTTCATATTTTAATTGGTTTTGCATATCATATAAATAAGACCAAAATTTTCAAACATAGCTGTACTGTCTAATAAGTTCATGAGGTTGTTTAGATATCTGATGATGAAGAAATTGATCATACAGGAATGCACAACGTGGATTGTTTCAATCATATTGACACTGTATATGTAATAACTACAGCATTAAATCCCACGAAAATTCAGTTTATCCCACCCAGAAGTGCCTTTGCATGTGTTGTGTTTTTTTTTTAAATATGCAAAGGTGAGATGTGATATACTGAGATGGTCTCAAAAGGAATTATAAGCATTATGGCATCAGAGATACGGAAATAATGTATCAAGGTACTACTGACACCACAATTTCACAAGGAATAATGAGTAATACCTGTTATCTGTTATATGGCTTGAGATCATTCCGTGACTGAAATAACTCCTGAAAGGCTGTGAGGAAAAAAAAAATTCTCATTAACAAGTAAATTAATAGAAAGTTTGATATATTCTCACTATCATTAAGAACAAACCTCAATTATCCTTCTCGGAGACAACTCCTGAACCCTCAAAAACTACTTCCAACCTCCATAAACAAACCCAAACACCATTAAGTCTTGTATACGCTTAAAAAGCAACAGACACTACCAAAAAGCACTGCGCTATTTTTTTTATCCATGCTGTATGTTACTATTAGTTATGTTTGAGATTCAACATGTGCAACTTCAACTTGTCAGGAAGTGCACATACCAGAGCTTCCACCAAAATGAAAGTCAATCCACCTACGAAGAGGGATCTGTTGTGCAGATCTAAATCAACTAAGTTCAATTATCAGTGAATAAACACTCAACTGAGTTACACCAGGCAGTCCTAAACCATCATACCATGCATAGGTAAGATGGGTGGTAAACTTTAAAAAAAAAAAAAAAAAAGAAAAAAAAACCACCACAAGTTTTCTATTCCTCAAACATGAAAGGTGAGATGGGGTGGGGAGGAAAAAAAAAAAATTAAAGAAACCACCAACCAAAACCAAAACCCAATATTGAATACTTATTGCTTCTGCATGGATGACACTAGCATTTCAAAAGATTATTGAAGCAGGCATACCTCCCCCGCCTGAGATTCTGATAATTCCAGAATGAAGGGAATTTCAGTATCAAAATTAGCAAAGAAGTTGGTCCACTGGTGTTCAAAAATCATTAAGTCCTAGAAGAAAAACATTTAACATCACTTAGTAAGGCTAGTGTTATATCAGAGAAAGGAAGTCACAGATTGTACTGAACGAACCCAAATTACTTTAGAACAACATAGATTACATTTCACTACACAATATAGAACACAGCCTGCCCAATGAAACAGTAAGTAAAAGAAAATAAACATCTTCTAAAAGATAGGGACTTTCTGCTGGTTTTTAGGGTGTCTTTTTTGGGTGTGTGGTTTTTTAGTTTGTTTGGGGTTTTGGTTTTTTTGGAGAGAGAAGAGGCAGGAGAAGGAAAAGGACCAGAGTCCTGCACTATCTGCTTTTAACCCAAGGAAGTAGACTGTTTTGAGACCACTCATAACTCAGACCTCATGTTTCCCATAAAACTTTCAAAACATATTTAATTTTCCATTTTTAAACCTGCATATGGTTCTGCAGTAACTTGTATCTGACATTAAGTAAGCTTATGGATAGAAAATGAGGAACGGGTTAGGGAATTTGGGAAGCTCATGATATGCAAGTGGCAGAGTAACTTCTTTACCTGCATTTGTTAAAAAAATTGGTAAGTGGAAAAGGAAACATCAATAACGCCTCACTAAAGCAGAAAAAAAAAAAGGAAGATGACTACAGGTAAGTGTTGCATTCAAATTAATTTAAAAAAATCAGAAAAGTCAAAAGAAAAAACCATGCCATGCTGATAAAGCAGGAAACTTACAGAATTAGGCAATTTTAAAATGCTCTCGAGATTACTTTAAGTTATTTTTCACATACTAACTTGGAAGATGAGAGACATCCTAGTATTAGAAAGTGTAGCTTTTCAGATATTTATAACAGGCAAAACCAGAACTATGATTTTAGCAGTGGCATAAGTTTATCCAGTATTTTACTTCAGCCACTTCACGAATGCAGCAATGAATGAAATTTAAAGAGTGAATGTTGATGAAATCTTACAAGCCTTCAAAATACTAATAAAGCATATATTGGAGGTTTAAAATGAAGGTTTACATTTAGAGGGAGAAACTAGCATTGGAGAATTTTTCAGTCTCAAATAATCTTTTCATAGAAGCTAAGAACTAAAAAGTGCTTTTGTCAGGTTTTTTTGTGGAACATGCTAATATTGTTCAACTCCGAACTTTTTGAAATCAAAGCTATGTTAACAACAACAAAAAAATACCAGCTTCAAATGCTCTTTAGGATCACCTAATTTCATCCTCACTGAGAAAACTAATCATTTTTAAAATCACCGATTTCTATGAAACCAGAGTTCTGTGAAAACCCCTTTCATTATTTTTTGTCAGAAAATTTGAAGTCAATTTAACAACAATCTGCAGGCTTAAAATTCCAAAATAAGATAAATAAGTCTGTTTCAGGGTAGACTTACCAGGTATAAGAGAAGTCCCAGACATTTATCTCACTTCCACAGGGAGGAGGAAGTGAAGTATCAGAGAGGGACTATTTAGACTGACAGACTTGTAAACTGTACATGTTAATTTTCATTACAGCAGTTGATTAATAACCAAATTGGTGTGAACTACCAAAACTTTATCAATAAAGGATACTTACTGCTGAAATTGCTACATATTAAAAACCTACTTTGCTGCCAAGCTAGACACTGATAAAAAATTAACAACAAAATATTATGTACTAATACTCATACGCTGCTTTCTTCTCAAGTACTGAGCTCAGACCATTGCATTAAAATGAGGAAACACTTTACACTGAACGTTTGTATTTCACAAAGCATCGGGGCAGCCACTGTGTGTCACTGTTATCCACTCAAAGTAGTTACAAAGCGATCGTGAAAGTGTTTTTTCCTGGAAGAACGGCTGTATGTTGAAGTGGATTTTTCTCCCTCCTTGCTACAAAAGGAGAATTAACACACACAAACATACCAACTTTCTGTACTTTGTACATAGTCCTATGACCTGAAGAATAGTTACACCATTGAGAAAAACTTTTAGGAGAATTTCAGGCAAATTAAGAAATTCAAGGAATTCAACAAGCTATTTTAGTGTTTTGCTGACTTTGTGGTAGATTTGAGGACAGGAAAGAGACCCTGTGAACAACACTATGCAGAGCCCGTAGGTTAAGTCCCTAAGCACTATTAAAAACAACCAAACAAAATCACAACAATTTTGGTCTGTGGCTACGCTAACAGACTCGTAGTTGATTTAGAATATTTCACCTGCATTACCTCAAAGAGCAAGTCCTCCAAGGAAACAGGATCCATTTTGCTGTATGTCTTCCACAAATCAACACTGACATCCATTAACTGAAAAAGATTTTAAACACACTTTTGTGAAAAACAACACGAAGAATGCCACGGATTCAAGTTTAAGCCACACAAACAGACTTGGAGCATACTGCCCCGTCTAACAGTCCTCCTTAACTCTGAATTCGGGAGTATTTTTATACTACTGGTTACAAAAGAATTGACCAGATTAAGTGTTCTGGATGCTTCAGAGACTCATCTCCTCAAGCAAAGGTTCAAAGTACATGCAAAGTTTTGGTTGCATCTTTCAAACAAATCCTTTCACAAAGTTTTTCACAATTGAGTTAATAGCAAAGAATAGTATCAGCTGGTGCAACCAAAAGGGAAAGATCAGTTTTCTGAGACAAGACAGACAAGAAGCAGATTCCTAGGTTACTCATCCTATGCACCAACCAATTCTTGCTGTAAGCATAATGTAAATTTAGGCAAAGCTAGTTTAACTTAGCAATTAGCAATACCTTCTTCCAAGTACTATGATGATGCATATGAAATACTATTCAAAAACATATTCTTAAGGGACGCTTGTATCTGAATAATTTCTGCACTGACAGGGTTCCCCACCACCCACCTAGATACAAATGCAACACTGACTGGAATTTTATTAAACCACTTCCTTAGAGTTATTGGAGTTACTCATATTATTAGATATAGTAATAATTATTTCCCAGACATCACTTCTATTCACCAATTGGTACAGTAAATTCTCTGGATTATAGCATCTTGAGCAACTATGACTTCTGTAGTAAGAGTAACAGAGCAACTACCCTTAAAACACTGAAAAAGTATTAGAAAGTTATGATCACTTGATTAGCTTCAAATCTAACAGCATAGAACGCACAGTAGTGGGAAAGTCACTTTGAGAAGCTAAAAATGCACCGAGAACACCCTCTTTTAATAACAGCAGAAGTATTAATTTATAGAGAACTTAGAGTGATCCCAAATGTACTTCCCTCCCCATCTGTGACATATAGCAGCTGCCTAACAGATAACTATGCATAAACAGTTACATAAAAAGTTAAGAATGACACTTCCCACTTGAAATCCCCTTATGATTTGAAGGAGGAAGAAAGCAGGAACTCAAGCTGAAACTGTCTGAACCGCCAGAACTAATGTGTACTCTTAAAATCAGATGCTGAGAATTTGCATTGCTCCTTTTTAAGTTTGTAACAGTGCAGTAAAGACAGTATAAACTCCCACAATGAAATAGGAAAGGTTCTGTCTTTACAAAGTCATTGCCACAGCGTGTCTACACATTTTCTCAAAGCCTCTACGGATTCATGAAATAAATTGGCAAGGGTAAAGACCCAAACAACTCCTCAATTCACAGTCAAGTTTTCATTGACGTCAGGAAGGACTCTTGATACTTAGGCAGACCTCCACAAGGATGCTCATTATTTGCACTTCATATTTAACAATTTTGACAGGGTCACACAAGATGATGATTACAGTACCAGTGATGAAAAAAAAAACCCACCATGAATAAAGGTATCAGTGGAAAGAGTACAGTACTCCGAGAAAGGCACATTTGAACTCACACAATAGATTTTTGAGCAAGCATGTACAGTACTGTATGTGATGCGACTTTAACAATGGTACTATTAATTCCTTGGGTTTTTTCCCAGTTGTTAGCAGTCAGACAAAGAACATTCTGGCTGCAAAAATGGAGGAGTGATAAGAAAAATAGAACATCTGCATTTCTGTGGCAGAGATCCAAGAAAATTAAATAAAAGAAGCTTCAAACAAGTACATAAATACAGAGCTGTCCTCTGAAGATGCTGTTAGAGTCTACTTAATAAATAGGCAAATCAAATGACACAAGTTGCTCAGCATGGAACAGCAAATCATTATTACAACTAGGAGCATCATCCAAAATCTTGACTGTTGCCCTATTCAGCAGGCTATGATGACACAATATATAACGTTGGTGAAAGAAGTAGATGCATCTCGGTGTCAAAACCCTGTGACTCAAGAAATACAGTCACTTCTAATTTTCTCAGTTAATTTCAAGGCATTTGTCACTAATCAGTTTCTCTTGCATTGCTCTTGGAAATCTATACCCACCTAGCAGAGTTACAAAAAGTGTTTTCTGTTACTGCTAGAAGAAGATCTAGAAGACAAGGAAAAAAGTTCTAAATCACAACAGGGAGGCTGGGGGGTGACCAAACAATCATGGTTTATCCAGGACAGAGTGCTGTGTAGCTCATAACAGTCTCTCAGCAAGACTATGGTGTCTCCATCCTTGCACATTCAAAATTCAGCTTCATAAGATCCTTAAAAACATCTTCCAACTTAGAAGCTCACTCGAGCGGTGAGTCAGGGCTACATGATCTCAAAAGGTACTTTCCAACTGAAATAATTCCATGATTCAATGTCTGCTTCAGAATGGAAATGAAAGAAAATTAAAAAAGTAACTACTTACTTCATATTTCATTGTAAAGAAACCATCACCCCCAATTCCTTCCAGTGCAAAAGCCTGCACTATTGGCCACTTTTCAACAATGAACATATCAAATATCTGTAGATGACCTGCAAAAGAAGTTTCACAGAAACATTCTCTCACAAATACTGACAGTCTTTCTGTGAGATCTTAGAGTTGTTCTCAGATTCTAATAAGGGATCTCAATTATCCTGTCTTCGTACAAATTAAAATCTGCAACTGAAAAATGTTTTTTGTGAAGATGGTAGCTTTTAGAAACTCCATTCTCTGCACCCCAAATTTTGCCCATTTTTCCCAGCTATCAATCTAGCAAAGGGTATTATGTCTCCTTGCAAATTTCATTCTAAGACCATTAGCAAAACCGTGTCATTAAAATTGAAGACAATAAACAGGGAACTTTGCTTAAAGCCAAATATTTGAAAAAAATGGGAGTAAGTAAAATACTGTCAACATGATCTCCATGTTAAATCAGAATTTAAAGTTGGGGAAGAGGAAAACTATCCAGCCTGGTACTAATCGGTAAAGCTGTAAGCTATCTGAAGTGAAGTGTGATTACCATCCGTAAACTACACACCTTCTTTAAATACTTCCTAACAAAGAACTGCCATCCTTCCCCCATGCCCTGGCCCATTAATGATTTTTCAGGCAGGCAGAGCATATCATCCTTTCCTCAAGAGAAGCAATGAAGAATTAGGAATTTCAAAAAAAAAAAAAAAAAAAGAAACTGCAAAAAAAAAAAACCCACACCAAAACAAAACAGAATTAGCTTGGTTTGAACTTACACGGTTCGAAAATAGAAAGCAATTTTCTTTTTTTGTTGTTTGCCTCTCCCCTACTGTACTATGGATCAAAACCCCCATATGCTCGTGCTGCACAGCAAAGTACACGCACTGCGTTGCTTCTGCGTTATTCACCATTGGGGATGTTGCAAAGTACACTTCACTGAACAATGTACGATTACACTATTCAGGCTGCAAGGCTGGCGACAGATCATAACAGGAAGTCATGCAGTCCAGTTTTTTCAGTGCTAAAAAAGGAAACTTGCATAACGAAATGTTTATTCTTTCCTTACATAAAGAAGTATTTATCTGGAGCTGCCATCTGAACAGAGAACTTCTGTAGCAGCAGAACACACTTCTCTGAATGCAAATTATTTCTTTGCCTCACGCTGTGAGCATTCACCCTTCAGATGAAGACTAAGGGCTTATATTTTTCAGAAAGAAACCTAACTCTTAAGTAAAAAGAGGCTAAAAGGAAACTATTGACATATTAATCCTTACTTCTTACTAAAGGCAAGGCAATCTTCATTCCCTGAACTGCATGACTTGCATGCTGCAAAACACTTACACTAAGCATAAAACAAGCTAACCTACCTTGGCAGCTGTATGGAATACCAATGCGACTGCAATCTCGAACCATGTCTACAAAGCTGGAAATTTTGAATTCCTCTGCAGCTTCTTCATCTTCATACTGAAAGAAGTCATTAAAAATAAAATTTGATTAGGCATGCCTAATTTGATTGTTAGTTTTGTACTAAAGAGAACATGTATTGTACTGCTTTAATACCATGGCAAATGTCATTTCACATAATCCACTAAAAAATTACCTACAGGTTCCAGAAGTTAAAGAACCTCTTTAGCCTCTGTATTTTAGAAACTCCCACATGGCAGGGACGCATTCAAGGCAATGGAAATTGTTCTTTAAAAATCAAACCTCAGAGCCAGGTTTTAATAAGGTTATACAAAGGCATAAATATATGCTTTATTTTCAGCTTTCAGTGAAGTCTTTCAGCATCATCTACTGGATTCTGGACAATTTTTAAAGAATAAAAGATACTTTGAGAATACCAAGTAATGTGCCACAAAAACTTGCCACTGAGAAAAAAAGAAATTACCAGTTCAACACCACTAAACCGGAAAAGCAGACTGAATAGCTATGCTTCAAGTCACAGAACAAGCAATAAGAACCGACTGCTGCCTGAGGGAGAGGTGTATGTAGGAAAAGGAAGAGGAAAAAAGAGGAGACACCACCGTGAAACCCTTTCTTGCTGTTGCACAACAGTAGCAGACTGAAGTCACCTGAAGACTTCAGCAGACTGAAGGAGTGAAGAACAAACATCATACTTATGGCTCAGGGAAGCATAAAAGCTAGACTAAAGAGACAAATCACAAAAATAATTTTTATAATAGAACAAAAACCTAAAAATGCTCTATGATTTTCATATGAAAAGGTACAGTTTAACAGCAAGCCTGAAACCAACAGGTGTAGCCCCACTGGGCACTTCAAGAGTCACTTGCATTTTGGAGCAAGAGCAGAAGGTGGTGGTGTCTTGTCTATTTTAATTTGTTTTTATGTACACTGCTCTGAACGTAATACTAAGGTAAATGACATAATTATGAACTTTTTTTTTTTTTAAATAGCTTTTGTGAGCTTTAGGGTACACCCAAAAAATTTATTTTAAGAACAAGTCCTTTTAAGACAAGCCTGAAATTAAGATGCAGCCCAAGTTCCTCCATGATGTATTCTTTCTTCAATCCGAGGAAGCCAGATCAAAGTTTCAGTTCAAAGCCAAGCACCAAACAACTGCCAGTTTCTCAAGACTTAAAAGCCATTTGAATAAGAACTTGGGTTTTGGCAGGGTACTAAAGGCTTGCTCACTATCTCCTATTGCAGGTATAAATGCAGCCTGTTCCATAAACGGTACAGTCATTACACCCAGAAAGCTTACACAGTATGCATCAAATTTCTGTACTTTATCTTATTTGGCCATTTTCAAAACAGGCATTCGTTAATAATATGCTTTTTCTTCTGATAACTAGGACATTCACTTAAATTCCTACGGTCCAGTTAAAGGCAAGTAGGAAGGAAGAAACAAAGGAGAGGCTATAGGCTTTGTCAGACTCATCACAAGCTGCACAGAGTCAGCTACAGCATTGCTTGCTTTATTTCTAAAACTCTTGAGCTTTTTTGGTTTTCATTTTTATAAAAGCAAAAGTTATTTCTATCACTGGAAAAAAAAAAAAAAAAGTTTAAAAGCAATCCTCCTGTAAACAGGATGCACTTAAAGCCTGGCACAGCAACGTTTTTTGATTTCTCTTTCAGAAGTAATCTAGGAAACTGGCAATTCTTATACATTAGAAAGTTCATTGCTCAGCTCATTCACATGAAACAGCAATGAAGTAAACTTTGTATTTTCAGCTTCAGAAATCAAAATTTTCCATTCATTTCCACGAATAGCAAGGCATATGGTTTACCTTTCTAGTTACACCATTATTTCAAGCCAGTACTGTGTGATTAAGGTTACTACTTACCATGATAAATCATATAAAAGGCCATAAGCAGACGGAGCATAAAATTCAATAGCTGAGATAACAGTTGTGCTAGCACAACTGTTAAGAACTACTCCCTTCTTGATTCCAAAAATGCATGTGTTTACCACTGTCAGGTCTGCTTTGAGATTTGCCCTTTCAGTAGGGATTTTGGCAACAGAAAAACCTTATGAAGCCAGTCTTTAGATTTTGCTACAGCATGCTTTAACCTGTAGCTCAACTGTTTACATCTTAACAAGAAATAATTATCCCCCTCTACACAGTGCTCATGGGACTGAGCATCCAGTTTTGGGAACCACATGCAAGAAAGACGTTGACAAACTGGAGCAAGTTCAGTGGAGGGCCACCACGACAACCAGTGGTTTGGAGCACTTGTCCAACAAGGAGAGACCCAGGCTTGCTCACACTGGACCTCATAGCTGCCTTTCAACACCCACAAAAACATTATTGAGATGGTGAAGCCAGGCTCTTCACAGCAGTCTGCAGTTGCAGGATGCATGACAAAGGGCATGATTTAAAACAAGAGACGTTCAGATTGCATAAGAAGAACCACTTTTTCACTATTAGGACAGTCAAGTAATGGAGCAGATAGCCAAGAGAACTTCTGCAGTTGTCATTCTTGGATGCTTTCAACATCCAACTGCAAAAAAAACTCCAGTAACCTGGTCTGATTGCATCACTAACCCTGCCTTAAGCAGGAAGTTGGACAAGATAATCTCCAGAGGTCTCTTCTAACCTGAATTATTTCATAATTCTCGGATCTAAACTAACAAACAGCCACATAAAAACACAATTAATCAATCTACCATAAACCCCATCACTTTCAAGATGGAAACTCAAGGGAACAAAAGATTTCTCTCCCTGACCTCCCCATTCATTCTTCCACCAGCTTCATCCATTGACATTGCAGGCTCCTAACCCACTTCCCTCCAGATTTCAATATAATTCTAATTTAGAAAAGGAACTACACAGAATTGAACAGGAGATGAAGCTTCCCATAATGTCATTTAGGAAGAAGCATTTCCAGTCTCAAATGGAATAAAGGAGTTCTTATTCTACATCTAGACAAACAGCATTTTCGTTTCATACCCCTCTAACAGTACTTTACTATGATAAACATAGCTTTTTTAAGAATACCTTAACTTTTAAATGCAAGGTGAAACTCACGTCACACACAGGATCCAATGAAAGTGAGGTTAATAGCTCTTGAAAGGAAGAGTTGAAAGTTAAAATGAAAATACATAATAAAGTTACCTGATTTTAAATGGCTTACTAAGCCGATCTTTTCTACTATTCTGAAACTATTGAAAAACAATGTATTAAAACACTGCTTTAGTAGCAAATAAAACTATCATTGGAAATCTCAGTATTGTCTGTGGTGCTTGATTCAGACTCTGCATTTTTCACAACCCACGTTTTTCCTCATTAAAAGATCATTGACTCATGTCAAAACAATAGTAATTAGTAGGAGAGGGGAGCAATTTGTCTTTATGCTCCAACAAATACAAAGTATTAAAAACATATTCTTCTTGCACACATTAGAAAAATGATTAATACCCATATATACATGCAGGTCACCCCCCTGCTGAGTATGAAAAAGAAAAAAGACTTCTGGAAGGAATGTTAAAAAAACAGTCCCACTTTGAATATCAGTTCATTAGCAAGTTCATCAGCAATTATTATCTGCATTCATTTTCCACTTACCTCATTTTCAGTTAGACAGTGAAAATGCAAGTTCCTCCAGTATGCCACATATGGTAAAAGATGATTATAATTCACAGGGTTACAGTACAGATGGACACTGTCAGCTTTTATTAATATGATTATATCTGCAACAAGCAGAACAAAAGTAATTCCAGCATCAAGACTCCATACACAGAAGAATTATATGGGCACAGTAAAACCTCACAGAAAGTGAACAGAAAACACTTGGAAGAGTGTTTTCTATAATGTACCTCATTAAAAGAAAATTCTTTAACTATTTGAATACGCAACCATTGCCCACTTCTTTAAAAAAAAAAAGAATAAACATTTGGCAGTCATATACGGTTCCAAGTACAATAGTACTTCTTACTGTTCTGAACAATTGTGGGGTTATTCTGAAGTCTTGCACAGAACTTGCATCAGCCAGTCCTTTGAAAAGCCAAGAGTGTCAGTGATGAGTCCTTACAGAGCCCTTACAAAACCGTAAACTATAGTTGCTCTTGCCTGATTATTAGCAGGCAGAAGGTTGCTCCAACTAAAAGTTCGAAGTTTCATGCAAATAAGGGAATAGCAGGCAGAAGGTTGCTCCAACTAAAACCAAGCACAACAGCCTATAGGGTAGATATTCTAAGTTTCATGCAAATAAGGGAAAAATAATCTGTGATCATGGTGATTGGCCACCCTTCAAATATTACAAAAGTGAATTAATATGTTTAAGTAAATATGAATTCAATTATTTTTAGAATTCCAGAGGTGTGATCACACGATAATTGATAACACATGTACGTACATACATACCATGACTCAACTAGGACTTCTCACAATGGGCTATACGAGTCTAGGTTTAGAACACCTGGGGGGACTGTATGAAGGGGGGATGTGTTTGAAAACAAGAGCTCTTCAGCAACGTTTTTAAGAGCAGTTTTTCATGTGTACACACACAATTAGAGATTTACTGACTTTTTTAAGGTATGCCACTTTTGCTGCTTACCCACCCTCCACTAACACTGAAGAATCGGTAAAAATGCCGAGTATCTTACTCACCATCAAGAACTTCTTCAGGAAACCCAGTTCTTTCAAAATCGTTGTTATTCTGGTTGTACAAGCCAAAAAGCAGATAGTTTGCCAGTTCCCTGCAACCTTCATTGTATCGACTATCTATTCCTGCAAAAGCAAAGCCATATGTGTAGTGTTACGTGTCCTAACATTGTACACCTGAAAATGTTGTTTCCTTCCCTAATAAGGAAACGTCAAACTGGAGTATTAACTCAACTCCCTCACATAGTCGGTGGGCACTTGTGCTCATTGAACATACTAGGAAGACAGGGTAGGGAAAAAAGAGTTTTTGCAAGTTCATTGCCACATGCTGACATTCCACTCTTGACCTAAATCCACAGGCATTCCTCGAAAAAAACTAAGTAAGTCTAGTTTTCTGCAGCGCTCTGCATCAACGAAAGTTCAATTTTATCTAGTAATTCAAACTTAAACATCTGTCTGTATGCAGCATGCATTCTAATTAATATGTTCTTGATTGAAGCTTCCTAACAAACTAATCCTGTGACCTAAATCTCCTGCTTTAGAATACATGATTAAACATTATCTTATCAGTATTATAGTGCAATCCCTGAGTCACCAGAAAGCCAGTGTGGACTTCTAAAAAATCATGAAAGGTATTCTGACAAAACATATGGTATGCAAACAGTTTCCAAGGAAAACCTTTTCTGGTCCTTGGGAAAATAAACTTAAAACAATTGAAGATCCGGAGCACGAAGAGATATAAGATTAATACACGAAAAAAAGGAAACAGGCCACAGGTTTAGGAAGCATTATTTTCAACTCACAGTCATAATTCCTAATTCTACCGTAGTAAATCAAGTTTTCTCCAAAAGTAAAACTATGCATGAAACAACATCCTTGACATCCACACTTGACAGAGGTCACTGGTCTCAGCCACTGCAAAATTTCTCATAGACACTAACATCAAGTTTTCCTACCAAGCTATATTAGGATACAGCTGGACAGTTGCCAACAAATGAAGATCTGTTACCACTGTCCAAATGAGAGATCGGTACACTGATAATGTAGTAACATAGCCTGGATGCCTGCGTTTCAGGACTCGCATCAGAAACCAAACTACTCGATCGTCACCTGAATGTACCAGAAATTGGAACAAACCCTAGGTTGTCCTAATTATGTCCCTTTTTTACGCTACAATTCAGCTTTAAAGTGCTAACCAGATGCCATGTCTGCATCCAGCCACTGAATCCCACATCTTAATAAACTCCCTTGTTTGTGCAGCAACTGGCCCTTGGATAATCATTCACGTATATTCCAAGGTATCAGATATTTGGTTTAAGCGTACAGAAGAGAAACAATCACTTCAAATTGTGCTGAAGCTATGAACCTCTGTAATACTGCTCCCCACTCACGGCTTCATGGTTAACAGCACCAACAGCACACTATAGCGTTGCATTCCTTGAACTGCTTTGGGAAAGGGGAAAGCTGCATCAGCTTTCTCACTCCTCCAAAATCTTTCCAGCCATAATCTTTGAATCCTCATTCCTCTGCTATCTAGCACTGATCTCCCATTCGTTTATATACATCCTTGGAACATGCTCTTTTTAAAACAAGTCACAATTCTGTATGTCAGTCAACCTGTGACTCAGGTCATGGCATCAGTAAGACTCAGCTAAAGAATGCTCAGACCCAGTCACTCATTTTTCCCCTCTGCTGCAATGCTGTGTCTTTGCCATGCCAGCAATTTTCTGTATAAACAGACTGCCCTGGATCTGTGACCTCAAGAGAGAGGGGGCACAAAAGAGGGAGAAGACACTCTATTTTATTTACATTTCCAGCCCCATGAAAGCAAATGTACGAATGTAATCTAGAATTCAATGGAATTGAGCACACTAATACTGGTGCCAAAGTCCCTGTCCCTAAGTGGGATTTTAGTTACAACTAGGTGTGGAGACTGCCTTCTTCCAGGCAGCAACTGTCTCATTGCTCTAGGGAACTCTGTTTCAATGTAATCAATCTCTCTGAAATCAGCTATAGCCTTAGAAAGCTATCACACACCATGTCTTGAAGATGTTTTACTGATTGCTTGCCTAACTGAAGCAACTTTTGAAGGCAACCAGATGAGCAATAAGCTAGCATAAAACAGGAGTTAGGATAGTCCCTTTCAGCCGCAGCAAGCTGCTAGATCAGTTGTTCTGCAAGCAACATTACTTGTGTTTCACAAGCAAACATCGTCTACCATATCAAGTGTTAATCTAACAAGGCATCCTCAACTACAGGCCTAACACCGTGGATGAAAGCGGCCATGACATTTACACTTCTTACTGTCAGGCTCATTGCTAAGGTCTCCAAAGCCTAAATAGCCGAAGTGGTGCGCTCAGCCTAACAGAAGCAGAAAAAGGAACAGATGACTATAAAGTCTGGAAGATCAGAACGAAAACGAGAAACTGTCTGCGTAAAAAGAAAAGTTAAGATGTCGCCATCACTTGAAGAGTTGAAGGTTTTAGCTGTGTTCACCAGCTCTTTTCAGGTTCACCCTGCTTTTTCAGTTAATGACAGAAGAAGGGGAAGAGAAGACAAGAAGATATTAACAAGGAGGGGGCAGCTGATAAGCTTAACTCTCATAATAGGCGACATGGGTGAATTTATTGCCTGCAGAATGCTGACAGGTTAGCAGGGAAGGCATTAAGTTACCATAGAACCAGTAACTCTGCAGAACATTTGGGTTTTGTGGCTTTTTTTTTTGTGGGTGGGTTGTTGGGGGTTTTTGTGTGTGTGTTTTTTATTTTAAAGTATCCAGTACAGAGAGGGGCTCTTATACTGAAGCTTTAATACTATTCTACAGAAACATATGGAGTTAAATGAAAAGATACAGTTAGCGGAAAATAAACAGGAAATGAAACAATGACAAAGATAAGATAACTCTAGAAAGCCTATCAGGAGTCCTCAACAGAACAATGGGGAAGGCTATTAATTAGGAAACCCCCACGCCTGTCTCCAGCTGAGCTGGGGGTTTAGTAACTCCCAGCCCCGACCCCAACTCATCACAAGGGTGTACTTAGACAATGATTCAATCTAACAGCCCAGTGCTGCCCAAGGAGACTTTCCTGCTCCTTCTCCTGAAGTCAGTGCTCATCTGACCTCTCAGTGAGCTGATTCAGTTTGCGAAACTGGCAGAAAACTAGTCTGGCCAAATACGGGGCAGGGGAGGGAATAAAAAGAGAAAATCTGTCTGCTCAGTAAGATGAACTGGGTGCGAGATACGAGCCAACCGCCAGCACTGATGCAACATGCATGTGGGGAGGAAACAGAGGAAAGGTAAGAGGAGCAGTCTAGGGGCAGGCTGAGACTCCCCTTTTGTGCTGCAAAAAGCATTCAGCACAGCCATCTCTCATATCTGCGATTTCACAGTTGCTAAGCTGAAATAAACATAGCCCACAGTAAAAAAAAAGTCCTGCTTTCTTTGTCCCAGCCATGCATTTCTGACACACCCTTGAGTTTCAAAACAAGTAATAGTTGTTCCATAACACGTTGAAGAGCCATGTAAGCTCTAGGGACACTAGGGAGGTGGCAGGAAGGTGAGGCTGGAGAGAATGGACAGATCACCTTTAGACAGCTGCCCAAAACCATCATGAACTTGTGGAACTGCCATCTAAGAGAAGTAGCACAGTAATCATTAAAATAGTCTCCATTGGGAAAGGGAATGGGAAGAACAATCAGTCCAATGTACTAAACACTGGTGAGGTTTCTCCCACAACCTAAGAGCAAGAGGTCTGTGTAGGATCGATATAAAAACCAAGGCAAAATAAAAAAGATTTACTGCCACAGCCTCTGAAGTATTCCTATCCTCTTCAGGCAGAAAAAAAAAGTAAGTATCAAGGTCTGTAAAAATTTAGCTTAGCTATGCTGAACTACAAAACAATTCAATCTACAATCACAACAGCTACAACTTTTAGAATACTATTTTTTATTTCAGTATAAATATTAACCTACTTGAAGTGAAGCTATGAAAGTTTATATGGTTTTATCTCACAGCCCAGTATGTAAAATTAAAGTTGGGGTGAGGCAAATGCAATAACTCTAGGGCATTAAAGACAGCCAAGTGAAATATAACAAGCACTGACTAAAAAAAACATACTTATAAGAGTATCTGCTTTCCAAACAAGCCAACAGGACTCAAAATGTAAGACTACGTATTTTTTGTCATCTGAACCTTGTATCTGAAGACAGATTTAATGCATTTATAACAGAGTGACATGCCTGCTTAATCAGAAGTTATGCGAGAAATTCGGCAGGCTACATTACACAGGTCAGATTAGACAACAGTCCCATTGTGGGTGCTGAAAGAGATTAGTGCAAAGCACCAGTCTAATAACAAAAAACACTTCCTATATTTCCATAACAGAAATGCTTATTTATTAAAGGGTATGGTCTTCTGCATGGACTTAAATACTCCACATTACACTGAGGATTACACAAAGCAATTCCTCTTGCCTGTAATGCTTTCCCTAAAGCCATACAATGTTTTGACTGACTGTTCTTTGCTTGGGATTTACTGCAGCTTCAGAGTTAGCAATAGCCAAGAAATACTACAGTGTCTATGGAGAGATGGCACAACTTGACATATTTTATGAAATTGGACTAAGATCAAAGGCAAAAAACAAGTACTTCATCCTGTATGATTAAGTTTCATTGGAAGGTTGACAGTGTCACCTTGTAGACCTCCTAGCTGTAAAGTTATTCCTTAGCCAAAGACTTCTAAAACTCTTATCCTAGAGCATGTAGAGTCATGCTACACAGTTAGCATCAACCAAAAGAGTACTAGGTTATACACATTTTAAACTTTTTTGTGATTCAGTAAACGAGCTTCTTCAAGTTTTCTTGCTACATCATTAAACAAAAAAACCCCAGGCTGTTGTATCATTTCTTAATGCAAGCCTGTTACTACACATAACGTCTTTAGGGCTACATTAGATGTCTCCATCTTTAACTGTAATACATTATTTAAACAATCACTCCTTAGTCCTATTCTCTATGGGATTTCAATCATTGTTCCTGACTTTTTCCTTTAATATCTTGATGCTGATTACATAATAAGAAACAAGAGTCAATGTAATATACAGAAATTATATTAAAACAGTACAAAAAACCTGTTACTTTCCTACAGCATACTTGCACATGCAGCTTTATATTATACTATCCTTCTCTCCCAAACCCAGAAAAAATAAAGCACTGAAACAACATGCTGTTTATATGCCACCATTTAGCTCATAACTGCTTCACAGACTTCTCATGTGACTCTTTAAATGCATTTTGAACTACTTCTCCTGAGGCAAGACCTCCCTCCCCCTAAATTCAGGTTTTATTAATTCTGTCAGTTTTCTGATTATTCCCCCCTGCATCTCTTATAAACCAAGCCTCTTTTCAACCACCTCCCTCCATAGCTCTGTATATCATGATCCCTAACCTTGGGGCTTCTTTGCTCTTCGCTCCCTTAACCTCAGTATCTTCTAATGCCTTCTCTTTCCCTGCCTCCGCTGGGAAACCAACAGCAACACATGTGCCTTCAGCCTTGAGTTTTTATGCCAAACACCAGCTAGAAAACAAACACTGCCTAGACAGCTGAATGTTTACTCCAAATAGATATGGATTAAATTCTCTCCATCTTTCCTTCAATTTAGACATAAACGAAGACACTCTTTTTCATCCAGCCACTAAATTTCCGTAAGGTTTGCAAGAATGTTGATGTTATTACTACTGTAGTAAGTTTGCCTGAAATTAGTAAATAGGCTTAACAATTATTTACAGAGAAAAGTGTGTAACAATCAGCTGTCCATTCACTGAGAAACATGGGAAGTAACACTAACCTAAAATGCAAAGGATTCCATCAGGTTGAGATTTGCTGCTTTGTGTCAGGATACTCTGAATGTTTCGAAGGCGGCTGCAGCTGCAAAACAAAGAGAATTCATCCTTAAGGTCAGTGTTCTGAATTGCTCAAATTCCATAGGCTAAAGAGTTGACCTAGCTTTTTTTTTTTTCCTTTATTATATAAATTAAGCCGACACAGTTCAACTTGGGTATCTTTTGTTTGAAATACATTTAGACCTCATATCAAACCCCAGATTATTTATTTTGTCCACTACGAGATGAAGCACATAGCCCTGAGAAAAGACTAGAACCCCTATCCAATCATTCTAACCAAGTGGCCTGTTGATCTCTAATAACCTTCAGCAAAAATTTCTGTTCAAGTTTCCTCTTACCACGCCAGCAACACTCCTTTCTCTACCGGAGAAGTAGAGAGCAAAGCAACATGAGGCAGGTCATGCCCAGGTAGAAAGCTGACAAGGGAAGAGACTGCCATAGCTCCTACATCCCAAGAAGAGTTCACAAAAGATGAGTTTCAGCACCGTCAGCATGATCAGACAGCTTCCACCCTGTCTAACTACATAATACAGACACATGCCAGACCTCCTACAAATCAAAGTGAACAGCATGAGATACGTGTAGGGGAGAAGGCACAGAGAACTCTGCCTCCACTCACAAACCTGCAGGGTTTCATCCATATGGTCTCATCCATATTCTTGGTCAATAAAGCATCAGTGTCATGCTATCTGCAGTGTCCCAGTGATGCTTTTGCTTACCAGTATGGAGAAGACTCAAAACAGGTCACCCTATCATTATTACAAGCACATACATAAGCAGAAATGCAGAACCAAGGGAACTTTCAGACAGAAAAGATAGTAATTTCAGTGAGCGCTGAGATAGGTGCTCCTGACTAGGAGCACCTCTCTTATAATTTAAGTTTCAGGTACTCCAGTTCTTCCTTGCATCTGGCATTGCTCTCTAGAATTTTACCCAGTCCATAACAGGAAAACATATAGCCAATACTCTTATTTAAGCATAATAACAGCTGACCTCCAGAAGAGTGTCACTTTTTAAGACAGATTTTTTTTTCCCCACAAGACAGATTAACAAACTGAACTTACATTTTACAGTCAAAAAGTAAACCACAGCTCAAAACAACTCTAAATTAATAATACTCAAAGCAAGTAATAAAAGCAGGAACTTTTTCCTCTCCATACCCAAAGAAATATCTACATCATTTTCATAAGGTCCATGTTACTTTCCTCATGACTTTTGTATTAAAACCATGATTTTTTTTCTAAAATGAAGAGTTAGGGATAATTTTAAACCTGAAGTATAATCTTTGATAATCTACACTAAAAAGAAATGACACAATACCAAGTCTTGCCAAGATTGTAATAACCAAAATGAATTGTTTCTCATATAAAGTTTAATTTAGTTGTCTAATATGCATCTTTAAGCCAGGCAAAAAATTCAGCTACAATAGCCACACAGAGAGCAACATAATTTGAGCTTCTAGGCAACATTTTGTAAGCTTGTTTAAATACAGATAGAAGGCAAGAAATTGCTGCTGATGATATTACTGAATGTGTTTTCTTGTTCACAGTCTTGTTTACGTAACTATGAGCTGTTCAGCTCTAGGAAACAAGTATCTCTTATAGCAACACTGCAACAGAGCTAAATTCATGATTTGTTCAATAAACAAGAATTCCTATTTTCATAGTTACATAAGCCAAGTAAAAAGCAAGTAGATCTTTTCAGTAATACTACAATTATGCTATACTTCGTCTGAAAGACAGAACGAACATGAAAGGTTTACATTATAGCTTATCTAAATGCAATTCCAACGTTCACAACAGACGACAGACAACATTTGAAGATACTTTCATATGAAGCACAAAATCAATGTGAAACACACCAGTTTTATTTTTTCTCAATTTTAGGCTGCCTATTTGAGGTCTGAATCCCTCAATTACTCTTTTTTTCCTGAAACTTTCTGATTCATATTATACCTTGCACTGTATCACAGTCTACTCTATAGACATAGATATTTTGATCCATTGTGAGATACAGAAATGGAAATTAAAGCCACTGATGACAGCAAGAAGACACCTAATCAGGTACTATCAGATGTTGTTGCCCATGTAGGTGATGCTATGAAGTCCACGAAAGAAACATTGAACTTTACTGCTGCACACTTTAGCAACTGCTTATTATTTGTTCTTTAAAACCTAACCTAAAACTGAATCTCACAGCCATCTGATCTTAAGATTTTGTATATTATTCTGTAATATTTTCATCCCACCATTAAACAGGACCCCTGACTAGCTAGGTGAGAGATGATCCACTATGGCAAGCTATACAGTGCTCGTATTTTTGTACTTCCTGTGCCACAAGATCAAGAGCAGAAAAAAATGCTAGACTCTTCACTATGGGTACAAACAAATTTCACTTACTTCATTTGTTAGCATGCAAAAAAGCCTACAGTTATTTAAGGATCAGCTGCAGGCAAGCACAATTGCTAGCGCCTCTGTAAAACACAAGAAAATGGAAGCAACTTTATGTACAGACAAAGCCCACATGAAAACAAAAATGCTTCCAACCTATCTGCAAAGGCCTGTTTCAGAGAAAGCCTTGCTTCCCGAGACTATTTTAAGGACAGATTGAGGACTGTGAGAAAGTATGCCCAAGGACTTCTGCAGTGACACAATAAGCAGCTTCCAAACTGACTTTTATCAAAACATTTACCGTATCAGAGGACACATCTTCTTGCTTCTGCTCAGAGTGAGAAAAGAAACTGTCATCAGAAAAAAATATCATGAATGCTTCCAAACTGAAGCCACAAGAGGTAGATTTTCATTAAACTCCTCTCAGAAACTAGATGCAAAAATCCTTCTACTAGTTGTGTTCAATTTGTACTCTCAAGGCAAATTTAAGTAATTCTTCAGCCAAAGACAGGTTTGTCTGGAGTGTAAAACACTTTTAAAACCTCTTATGGGTTATAAACACAGTATGAATACATATTTTGATTTTGCCATCAATTGTTTTCCCCCTATACTGATCGCTTTTAAAAGAAGAAAGGAATGGTTCGATCTAAATTTGATAAAGAACAAGTACGGAAACTCATAAGCAACTTGTGGGGGAAGACACACTCATTTATTATAAAATATTACTATATGATACAAGGTAAGTTATTCCTAAGATCTTTAAATTTTAACTTCACACTAACAACTTTGACAAAAGGGAGACCTGATCAAATACATTTATCACCTAAAAAGAAATACTGTAATAAGGCTGTGCATCGGGACCAGAGCAGAGCAAAGCAAAATACACAATGTTTTTGTCTTCTTGAACCCTGTGAAAGCATTTTTTGAGCTGTTCAAATAAATTGTGGTGGGGGAAGAGGGGAAGAGGAACTGGGGGAGGAAAGTACTCACAGGTTTGTTCTGGGTTGGGTATTTTTCCCCTTTCAAGTTTTGATTTAAGGTTAGGAATTTTACTCTCCTAAAATTAGTTCCAGTATCTTTCACAGATATTGTAACTTTGGTGCACCCCTTAAAATACATAAAATTCTCAGATTAAGTTGCTAAGAAATTTCTGTCAAGCAAAGTTGAATGTCAGTGCTACATTTCCTTCAGGAGACAGTCCTGACATAAAAGGAAAAAGCACAGGGCAAATTATATGTTCATTATTTCATAATGAGACATATGACCATAAAGATGTTTATTTCAATCTTAATATTAAACAGCCTTCAACAGAATATTTTTCCTTGCCTCGTTTAAAGAAGTGGTTTCTATGAAAGAAATCCTTGGAAAATCTTCTTCAGAGATATATTTTCAATGACATTTCAAGTGTGTATAAATCATTACATTCAAAGGCTGACATTAAAAACAGAAGACTTCTGTATCTGAAGAACAACGTTATTCAGAAATACCGAAGAGAATAATTAGAATTCTTACTACATGCTTTTAAACAATACAGGCTAAACTCTGTAAAAAGTCAAAGAAAAAATGGCTTTTTCTTGCATTTCACATTAAACAGTCTTCTGACAAAAACAAAGAAACCATCCTGGGAACAAAATTCCATTACTTTTCCCGCCTCCAAAGCAAGCGCCCTAGCCAGGGTACTGACTTTTTAATCCTTTTCATTTTACCACAGTAACACAATTTTAAACAGAAGCACTGAAGAATGACCTCCACACAATGGCACAACTTTCTGGGCTTCAGGATGCTTTCCTGGAAGACGTGGCTCTGGATCCACCCACATACGCAACTACAACTACATTTTACAGTAGCTTGATCCTGAAAAATCAGCATTAGGTGTGTTCAAAAACACAGATCCATGAAGCTCTTCTAAGGAAACCCCAAATTCCTGAACTTCACTGAGACTTGCATGAGACACCAGGTGCAAGCTACATAAGCTAGGTCTATTCCAACCACATCCAGTAAGATAACCACAGACACCCAGGCTGTTTGGTAGTAGTAAGGAGTTGAAGTAGGTGAAGTGAGAATTTTTCCAACATACAGTTTTGTACAGAAGATGTAACTTCAACATTGGCTTAATCCAGCATAAGAGCCCACCGTGCTGCAAGGGGCTGTCTCGCCCTTCTCCCTGCCTTTGTATTTGCACTAACAATCTTGAAGCCATGTGTCAACTCAGATCAGCTTACAGATCCAAACAAACTCTAGGCCAGGAATTAAAAAAAAAAAAAAAATGCTTTCAAACATCAGCAAGCTGATCTGACTGCTGATGAATGCGGGTCAGAAGGCAAAGCCACAGTTTGGGGTGGCATCTGGCAATAAAGTGTGCTTGGACCAATTAAGAAACTATACGTTGAGGTACTTGATATTCTGCTAATCTTGGACTAGATAAAAAAAAAAAAAAGAGGAAGATAATTGACAATCATTAACTTCTAAGAATTAGTGCTCATCTGTTCACATGTCTTCATACTAATTATGCAAAGTACCTTGCTTTACAACAGCCTATCCTGTCACAACTTAGTAACAGACACAGCGCTGCAAGCCATGTATGTCGGAAAATAAAGAAAATATTAACTGTGTCTTTCTCAAACAGAAGGAACAA